TTCACAACCAAAGAACAAAAAAATACAGTATTTTCTTCTGGTTTTCTAATAGGTGAATAAGAAATTAATTAGTGATGCCCTCTGACAGTCTATTTGCTCCTTAAATATTACTATTTTTGAGGTATTGGTTGCTCTAATGGCATTAAATTTCAGGTGTTGCAGATATATCATCCATTTGTTTCTCAGAGTCTAATAAACAGTGAGTCAGGAAACATCTAGGTTGCATGTCTTAGCTATGATCTGAAAATTTCTCACCTAGCATACAAAGAATTTAAAATTTAGAAATGAGTCATGAATTTCTGTGAAGGTTTCCTTGGTAATAATGGGCATATTTTTCTAGTTACCAGGTTCTAACTGCTAGATTTACTTCTCAGGTGATTACAAAGGGTTTCTGGTTTTGAGCATCTATACCAAATGGCAAATAATGCTATCTTTTCCCCTATTGGGTAAAGCCATTTCTTTTCAGAGCACAGCCTCAAGAGGGATGGATTTATTCCTGGATTTGACCCTATTTGCTAATTGTTTGTCACCAATCTTATACAGGTTGAAGGCTGAGTTTCTTTTATGTACAATTGTATAGCAGCACCATTGTTCTTGCATATCCAGTTCTAAGGTATCCATATCTACAGGACAGGGGTTCTAATTTGTTTTTATTTTATTTTTTAAAATTTTTATTATTGGTTGTTCAAAACATTATATAATTCTTGATATATCATATTTCATACATTTGATTCAAGTGGGTTATGAACTCCCATTTTTACCCCGTATACAGATTGCAGAATCACATTGGTTACACATCCACTGTTTTACATATTGCCACACTAGTGTCTGATGTGTTCTGCTACCTTTCCTATTCTCTACTATCCCCCCTCCCCTCCCCTCCCATCTTCTCTCTCTACCCCATCTACTATAATTCATTTCTCCCCCTTGTTTTTTTCCCTTTCCCCTCACTTCCTCTTATATGTAATTTTGTATAACAATGAGGGTCTCCTTCCATTTCCATGCAATTTCCCTTCTCTCTCCCTTTCCCTCCCACCTCTCATCCCTGTTTAATGTTAATCTTCTTCTCATGCTTTTCCTCCCTTCTCTGTTCTTAGTTGTTCTCCTTATATCAAAGAAGACATTTGGCATTTGTTTTTTAGGGATTGGCTAGCTTCGCTTAGCATAATCTGCTCTAATGCCATCCATTTCCCTGCAAATTCCATGATTTTGTCATTTTTTAGTGCAGAGTAATACTCCGTTGTGTATAAATGCCACATTTTTTTTTAATCCATTCATCTATTGAAGGGCATCTAGGTTGGTTCCACAGTCTAGCTCTAATTTGGTTTTGACAACCTCTGCAGTCTTCTCCCGGTCCTGCTTATGGCTACTACAACACAGGTGGATCTCTAATCCCACAAATAATTCTCACAGCAATGTTCATTTTGACAATTGAGATACTAGCCTACAGGGCAGCCCTAGTGGTACCATAGTTAACTGTACAATCGCTTCCTGGACTGCCTTAAAATGTACCAATGACTGTGGGAGTTACTCTTCCCCCACTTACAGGGAAATTCTCCTTGTGATCTTTTCAGTCCTTTCTTGGCACTAGAGGAAGTTACTTCTGACTATGTCTTTCTGCATGAAAGATATCTGAGCTCCATATTATTACAGAAGTGTGCAAGCCTCCAGGACTGATGAGTGTCCACAGGTGATATGTCAGTAGGTCTTTCCTGGTGAGAAAGTTATAAGATGCAGGGCCTAAAGGTTTTGGAGAGAGTGTTCCTTAGATCAACATCTGTTCAAGTAGAAGCAGCAGCATTGTGCAGGGTTGAAGGCAAGCTGTGATGGAGTATTGAACTGACACTACCACACACTATAGCTTGCCTTCAAAAGGGACTAACAATTCAAAGTTGTCCTGAGTTGTAGGAACGTTGAGTTTCATAATCTTGTGTTGTGTAAGTCACCATGAGTGAACTATGCCAGAAAGAGGATCTGACCTATAGGAGAGGTATTTCTTCAGTTGAGGCAATTTCCAAAGGAGCCTGACAGATGAGAGCTGTCTGCCTGAAATACTCCCAGCACATGGGGTAATGAGTTCTTTCTTGAAGAGATAAGCTCTCACTGGACATCAGAAAATCTACATGGAGATCTGGGGTAGAGCCATGCTCAAGAGAAGTTTGCTCTGAGAATCTCTCCTACTGTTTCCCTTGGTCTTCTATGAATAAGTGTAATTTTTTCTGCTAACAATTTTGGTTGTTTTCCCTGTACCCAGTCCTGCTTCCTCCCTACCTCTTCAACAGATTTTAATCCCCCAAGAATACTATTATTTCTTCCCTATCTTGCATTTACCTTTAGTTCAATAATTTCCTAGAAACTTTGCTTTCAGTGTAGCCTGAAAGAAGTAAAATGTCCCCTGGATAAAGAACAAAGGGAAGGAAACACATAGAGAAACTAAATTTAATGCTCTGAGACATCACTGTGACACACATAATTTTTATCTCCACCTTTTCCTTTGCATTCTGATTTAAAAAATCCCAGTTTATCCTGTATATCACTGATTAAATTTTCTGCATCTTGAATTTTACTGTTTATTGCTTCTGGGGAATGTTTTTTTTTTAATTGCATTTTTTGACATTGTTATTCTTAAATAGCATCTCTTAATTTCATCTCTTCACTCATGCAGTTCTCTTTAGTGTCCGCAGGTGATTTTTTTTTTCATTTTTATTTGTTCTTTTTAGATACACATGACAGCAGAGTGTATTTTTACATTATACATATATGGAGTATAACTTATTCAGGATCCTATTCTTGTGGTTGTACATGATGTGGTTGTACATAGTGGTGTATTCATGTATGAACATAGGAAAATTACTTCAGATCCAATATATTCACTTTTATTTTTTTTTATTTTTATTTTTTTAAAATTTTGATCATTTATTACTCATTTTTTTAAAGAGAGAGTGAGAGAGGGGGAGAGAGAGAGAAAGAGAGAGAGAGAGAATTTTAATATTTATTTTTTAGTTTTCAGCGGACACAACATCTTTGTTTGTATGTGGTGCTGAGGATGGAACGCAGGCCGCACGCATGCCAGGCGAATGTGCTACTGCTTGAGCCACATCCCCAGCCCAATTACTCAGTTTTTAATACAAGTTTCTGACATTTGATTTTATTTTTTAGAGCCTTTTAAGGTTCACAACAACATTGTGTGAACAATGTTGGCAGTGTGTCAAGAAGAAATTAGAGTATATTGTGAGACAAATGAAAACAAAACCACAGCATACTAAAACTTGTGGGGAGCAGTATTAAGAGGAAAGTTTATAGCATTCTGCTTTTAGATTTCACCCATACTTCTCCTATTCCAATGTATTTTCTTTTGTTCTTCTTGGCTTTTTTTTTTTTTTTTTTTTTGTACCAGGAATTGAACCCAGGGGCACTTAACCCCTGAACCACATAACCAGCCCTTTTAAATTATGTTTTAAGATTTATTTTGAGACAGGGTCTCACTAAGTTGAACTCATGATCCTCCTGCCTCAGCAAGTCACTGGGATTACAATCCCGTACCATTGTGTTCGGCTTGTTCTGATTTTTTTTAAAATTTTTTATTGTTGGTTGTTCAAAACATTACATATTTCTTGATATATCATATTTAACACTTTGATTCAAGTGGGTTATGAACTCCCATTTTTACCCCGTATATATAAATGTTGTTAGGACTTCTAGGAAAATGTGCATTCCTGCTTGGGACCTTATTAAGTGTACTCATGTGAAGTGTGTAATTCCTGGGATGTAACACATCACTCCCATCTCATTTACTCTATGCATAATGCGAATTGTAGGATCAGAATTGATGTGAAGAGGAAGAGCTGAGGAGAGTAGGACCACAACAGCTTTGCATTTTATGGCAGCCAGTTATTGTGGTCAGTGCAGTCTCTGTGGCCTGGAGTTCAGAGACCTCAGCAATTGGTCTTAATCCCCTGGTTCTCCATGTTATTTAGGTTCAGACTGTGGAATGTATATGTGCCATTTAGTCAACCCCAGATTGATACCTCCATAAGAGAAAATTTTGCCTTGATTTTAGAAACCTTTTCTCAGTTTCTTTTTCCTTTGTTGTCAGCATAGGTCCCTTATGGTGTCTATATGTGCATTTGAAGAAGGCTCATCTCCCCCAATCAGCCTGCTGCCAGTTTAACTTAGAAGTCCCTTCCCTCCATCTTTATATTTTAATTTGTTATAAAAATATGTGTCTTCATGTAAACCTCAATCAATACAGATGGATGTGAAAAGAGTAAAATCCCGATGAATTCTCCTAGATCTTGCTTTGCTACTTACCAGAGGTAACCACTATTGACAGTTTCTTATGGCATTCCAATTTTTTTTCTGTGCATATTCAAGCATATGTATCTTATTCTTACACAAATGGAATTTTAGTCTGCAATCTGTTCTGTAACTTGCTCTTTTTCCTTTAGAATTTATCTTAAACATTTATTTTTCATACTAACGCAAATTCGCTGCACTGAAGAATTGGTTATATATTTTCCACTGCATTGATTCCTGTCAGTATTTGCTACTAATACCTTTCTTTGAGAGTCCTCTGTTTCACCATGGCTTTATAGTTCTGATATTTCTTGTTTGTTTCTCGGCATTTTACATTTCCTGCTCAGTGTTCTCTTTTCCCTAGTTCTACTTTCTCAAGGATTTATGTGCTGTTGCAGTTTTCTGTCACCTATACTCATCTACTTTACTCACTTTATAGTCTTAATTCTCTTGCGATACTGGGAGTAGCCACCGAAAAAATAAAAGGGATGTAGAGTCCATAGCTAGTTAACTTTGATTCAAATCTTCACTCTACTGTTTGCTAGCATGTGACTCCAGGAAAGTTCATTAATTCTTATCACATTTGATTTTCTAATGCAAACCAAGGACAAGTAATGCTGAATCTGAATAAAGACTATAAGGATTACATGAAGTTATGGTTGTGAAGAAGCTAACCAACCCCCTAACACTTAGAAAATGCTTTCCAAAAACCTTTAAAATGGTTTTAAATTCATTTAGAAAAATTCTAATAAAATATCAAGTTGATACCTCAACTTAATACAGTAAAGCTCAAATTTTCTACATTGTATGATCAAAAATTAATGGCTTCAAATTTCAAAAAGCTGAGAAACTGTTTCTGTTTTCCTAATGTAGTCTGTAGTAGCATTTCTTGAACCACTGCTCTGTGCTGCTGTTCTGCAGAATAATAATTGCTCTAAAAGATTGAGTGTTCAAATAGAGTAGGGAAACTCCAAACTGAATTAAGAAAGCTTTCCTGGTGCAATTAAAAAAATTACTTGCATACATTTTGAATCTCTAATAGAGAAACTCTTCTAAATATATTTCCCCATGAAACTTCCCCATCACCTTTTATCCCAGAACATTTGTCTTTTGTAACTAGTGTTCCAAAAACATTGGCATTTGCTACTTGTAATCACCTGTCAGCAGTTTTTCCTGTTACTTCTTGTCAATTTTTTTGAGAAATGGAGATCATACCACATGAAAACTGTCTTATATCTAGAGTAGTAAGGTAAGTGGCAACATAACTATGTAATGATTCTTGTTGATTCTTATGATGCATGTTGATCATTATCCACTTGTGAATTTGCCTGTTGACTAAAATTTATTTGTAACTCCCCAAATCAGTACTCTTGCTTCTCTCATAGTTATTTGTGGACACATGAAGAGTGGTAGAAAATAAGATTCGCCCAATTAGCACATTCCCACCTGAGGTAGAACAAGACCATGCCTTTTCTTGTTTCCACTCTCATAACGTAAACAGATGTCTTTGTCATTGTCAATGTATTGCCATTTTATTTCCATTTTCATTTTCTGTTGGCGAATTCACTGTTTTAAATGGCCCCCAAGTGTAGAGCTGAAATCTTCAGTCTTCAACAAGGAGTTTGTGATATGTTATAAGGAGAAAATATTGTTTTGTGTTAGATAAGCTATTCAAGTATGAGTTGCAGTGCTTATTTAAAATGAAAAATATATTAAAATGACGCAGAGTTTTTGCCAATATGCACATATCTGCAAATGACCATAAAAAATGCCTGAACACTAATTCTGGGGTTACAAAAAAAAAAAAAAAACAACTGGTTGAGCAGGCAAATTTGTAAATAGGGATTCCAAAAATTATGAGCGTTAACTATATTTTCAACCAATAGCACCTCAGAGAAATTATTGTAAATACAAAGAAGCATGTAGAAGAATGTCCGTGGTAATATTATTTATAACAATTCATAGTCCTTGTTAAATAAATGTTGAAAATATTGTAAATGCAAACAATAGACTGTCCACACCAACTAAAAGGATAAATTAAATCTGCATGCAGAAATGTGGATGACTTTAATAGTATATACTGAAAGAAAAATTAAGAAGCAGACACATGCATTTAAGACTGAGTGACAGGATGAGGAGGGATTTGACAAATGGTATTTAAAGGGCAGAAGCCAGGTACTTTGGTGAGCACCTGTAATCCCAGCTACTCTGAAGGCTGAGATGAAAGGAACAGTTGAACTCAGGAGACCAGCCTGGGCAAAATAGTGAGACCCCATGTCAGAAACAACAAACAGGGCATGGTGGTGCACAACTATAATCTCAGCTACTCGAGAGCCTGAGGCAGGAGGATCACCAAATTCAAGGCCAGCCTCAGGAACTTAGGAGGCCCATTTCTCAAAAATTTAAAAAGCACTGGGGATGTAGCTTAATGATAAAGTATCCTTGAGTTCAATCCCCAGTACCAGAAAGCAAAATAAAATGAACAAAAGAAATGGACAGATAAAGGACAGAGACTAAATAGAAATAAAAGGCCATCCATTGTCCAATGGAAATAGTGCTGAAGACCAGAAGAGGATCAATACAAACTGTGCTCCTAAGACTCAGGACAAAAAAAAAAAAAAAAAAAGAATGAAACATAAAATCAGTAATATTCTGTTCCAAGCATGGTGGTGTGCATAGGTAGTTCCATCTACTTGGGAAGCTGAGGTGGGAAGTTCTGTTGAACCCAGGAGTTCAAGACTAGCCTGGGCAACATAGCAAGACCTTGAGACCTCATCTCAAAAACAAACAAACAAATAGCATTCCTGTGTTTTAACAGCAAGGGGAAAAAAGTATAAGAAAACAGGATGCAGTCAGCAAGAAACAAGTGGAACATATAAGAACAAAGGAAAATAAAGTCTGAAAGGTGAAGATTAAAAAAAAAACTGAAATGTGTATATAAAATTCCAGGTTCCTGGATGGAAACACTAGATTTTCCTTATGAATTAGGCTCCTATATTGCTGTCTCTGGTACTATTGTTAGGTGCCAGAGATAACTTAACATTGACAATACAGGCCATGAGAAGGATGTCAGTGATAATTAACTACAGCCTATCTCTAGCCTATCGATTGCAACTGTGACTATAATCTCAGGTCATCCATTGCTTGTTTTTCCTTCTTGAATGGAGCCAACTCCCCTTACAGATATTAAATCTGTGACTTTTTACAATTTACTTAAGATGTAACCATTTGTCCTCTAAAAGATTGAACTCCAGTATTGAAATTTTTCAATAAATTTAGGAGATGAGTTAATTTTTTAAAATTTTTTCTATTAAGAGCATAAATGGAATTTATAATTAGAGTTGACTTTTTTTGTATAGTAATTCTCCCTAGATGCAGCCCTTATTCTAGGTGACAGAAAGGACTGAAAAAGTGATTATGCGCATAAACCTTATTCTGCTAATAAAAACACTCAAAGTTTGACTTTGGTCAATCTGGAAGATTTATTGTTCTTCTCATTTGGTATAGATGGAGTCTCAGAAGACCATTGTATTGCATGCACTGCAAGACACCGTGTTGGAAAAGGACAGGAATTATACAATTCAGCTGTTACCAATTGATGAGGTAGAAATATCTCCAGCAAAAGGTAAGAAAAATTTTGGAAATTAAAAAGTAGATTAAAGCAGATGATTAGTAGTTACAGAGATAGGCAATGTTAGGTTTTCTAATTCCTAAAATTTTGCTAAAACATAAAGATGTACTCAAGGTAAATACATTTTTAAATTAACATTATAATACCCCATGTTGGTAAGACATAGGTCAGATTTCATACTGCTCAGCTGTGACTTTTTAAATAAAAAATTTTTTATGAAGCAACATTATAAAATTAATTATGGTAGCTTCCTAAATGATGTGATATTAGGAGACTGGTTAAATGTGGCAGAATACTATGCAATCATTTAAAATGATATGGCAGAGAAACAATTACATTGAAAACAAATAACAATTACATGGGTAATTGTTATGGTAATAAAATAGGTTTCAGAACAACATGCTCAATGTAACCCCATTTTTGTCATGTGCATGTTTCCTTCCTTCCTTCCTTCCTTCCTTCCTTCCTTCCTTCCTTCCTTCCTTCCTTCCTTTCTTTCTTTCTTCCTTTCTTCCTTTCTTTCCTGGAATGAAGCCCACAGGGCCTCATGCATGCTCCACATGTGCTCTGATGTGCTTGTCTTATGTAAGTTTGGAATTATTTATTTGAAATATTAATAATGGTTTTTGATTTCCTAAATTTTAAAAACATATTATTTTTATAATACAACATTATTTTAAACCAACACATTATGTTTGATATGTAGTGTATACCTGTTTTCATCTGAAACTAGAACTACGTATTTTGACACTTCAGAAACAGGCATCATATGGTTCCTGTGATGATTTGTTGCTTGGATCAATAGAGAATGTTTCAAGAAATTTTTTTGTTGTGTGTTCTGTCAACAATAATCCCAGTAAAAAATGGCCCAGAGTTTACTTATAAAAACTTTGTATCGTTACATGTCTTTTTTGCTATCAAACTCCATCCTATCCCATGGGTCTGTGACAAAAAGCAAATTCTGTGGTCAGGAAAATTCTAGTATTACTGTATATATTTTGGGTAGTTATCCTTTTGTGTTATGTGTCATCATCAACTTAGGTAGTGCATCAATAATTATTCTGGGAGAAAGGGGAGCACCAGGAGAAGTTGGGATAGCTCCGTCATCTAGGCATGTCCTCATCGGGGAGCCCTCAGCTAAATATAATGGTACTGCTATCATCAGGTAAGAGCTTCAAGATTTTTCTTTGCTTCTATGGGGTGATGACATTGTTTAAAGGATTAGTCTTAGTACACCATTCTTAGTGCATGCACAGTGTTCATGCATCATGATTTTCCATAGAGGTAGCATCATTTGGAGATGCTGCACCTTTTAGACTGAAATAGAAATTAGATCCCCAAAAGGTTTCAGACTAATGGATGATTTGCATAACCTACACCAAGGAAAGCTCGTGGTGTTGAGATCAAAAGTCCATGCTTTCAGCCCTATTCTGTAGCTAAATGTGCAATATAGGAGATATATTCCATCTTTGTTAGCATGTATGCCTTAGCTGAAAACCATCTTTTAAAAAAGCATCAAGATCAAAGATTTTGATTCTAAGTGTTACAATGTCAGGACTTATCATATAACTAAATTGGTATGATCATAGGCATGTCTGTTTCCCTCAAATTTTCTCATGAGGAATAGAGGTGGCAGCCATCAATGATGTGGCCAGATTTGACTCAATATTTTATCTTTTTAATAGTTATCCCAAGACAATTCTTTATCCTTTTCCATTAGCATGCACATGTATGAAGTGTTTATTATTCTTTGGAGAAGTTTGTTAGGCTATTCATATTTTATGCCCTGTGTATTAAAAATCTGTAACAACTTCTTTTTATCCCCTAAACCTCCCACTATTAATGTTCGGTTTTTGCCAATATGCTTGTCATACATTGACACTACACTAGCTCAGTATTTTCTAAGTACTTTCTTGCAGTTTATAATTGATAGACGAGTTTAGTCAAAAGAATAAAGTTCTTGAAATAAATGAAAATTGGTTACTGTTGAAAGATTCAGTAAACATTTAGGAAAAGTACACAGCAATCAAAATGTATTGAATATACATTTGTGTATTGTTGTAGCCTTGTTCGCGGCCCAGCGATCTGGGGGGAGGTCACAGTGTTCTGGAGAATCATCCCTCCTTCTGTGGGGGTGTTTGCTCAAACGTCAGGAAAACTGACAATGCGAGATGGACAGTCTGCAGCCATTGTAGTGATACAGGTATCAATGTTGCTGGCTTATTATGCCCTTCACTCTGTGTGTGTGTGTGTGTGTGTGTGTGTGTGTGTGTGTGGTGTTGGGGTGGGCCATGAGGAGGATGGTAATATTGCAGAATCTGTTGCTGCTTTTTATGTAAGAGGAATGTTTAAGTTTTACAGATTTTACTGTTAATGATTGTTTTCATCCCTCTCTAGGCTTTGAATGATAATATTCCTGAGGAAAAGTCTTTCTATGAGTTTCAGCTCACTGAAGTCAGCGAGGGAGGAGTGCTGAGTGACTCCAGAAGCACGGCCAACATCACTGTGGTGGCCAGTGACTTTCCCTATGGCCGATTTTCCTTTTCACAGGACCAGCTTCGAGTGTCAGAGGAAGCACTGGGGGTATGGTGTGACTTACTTAAAAATATTAATACTGTTTTTGTTTTTGATGTTGCGAATGCTCTTTAAAAGTATTCCCTTGTTCGTAGTCTAAAGTTTTTCACAAACACATTAAATTGCTCCTAACATTATTTTAACATATAACATATACTTTATAAGTTCATGTTTAATTTTGACATAATCCTGGTAAATAGTCTTTAATTAGAGATAATGTTGTCTGGTAGATTAGACATCCAAATCAAATGAGAAAATGCTTTTTGCCTAGGTTAATGTCACGATCATCCGTTCGGGTGGATATTTTGGCCTGGTGAGACTCTGGTACAAGACTGTGAGCGGGACAGCAGGTGCTGGCTCAGATTTTGTTTCTGCATCAGGAGAGCTCCTCTTTGAAGCCAGAGAGACGGTGAAGAGTCTGCTTGTTGAAATCCTTGATGACGACCATCCTGAAGGCCCTGAAGAATTTTCTGTAGCAATTCTAAAGGTGGAACTCCAGGGAAGGTAAAGGAGAACAGGAAATGAGTAAAAAAGAGGGAGAGAGAATGAATAAAGCTACATGTGAAGACACCAATACTGAAGTGTACAACTGTTCTTTTCTTGCTGTTTTTCGACCTATGTGATGTTCCAACAGCTCATAGAAGGGAAATTATGAAAAAGACTAGGTGTTATTATTTGCACTTTTCTGAATTTTAATTTTTCTCTTGAATGGACAGAGTATGTGGCTCTGGTCTGTGAATTCATTCAGAGCAGGCAGGGAATGAGCATGACACTGTGTCTAGTAATTTGGTGAGGAGAGATCCTAACTGTTCTCTAGGTCATGGGTCTGCTGGGGTGGCAGAATTTGCTTCCTGCTGTTTCTGTACCTGAGAAAGAACTGGAGGGAGGGGCATCTTCCATTGTGTATCTGAAAGCTATATTATATTGTTTTCTTATGGGTGGTGCCCAGCATCAGTTTTAAAGTGGGGAAATTTTCGAGTGGAAGATGGTTGGCTAATAATGTGTACTATGTTTTTAGTGAAGATGAAAATTTAACCATCATGAGTCTCTTTCATTCTCTGTTTTCATGGAGCTGGCTCAGTTGATGAGATGGAAAACACCCTTAGCACATACTTGAGTACCCATGGTTGAACAGCTCACAGGTTCAGCAGCTTTGCAAGCTTCTCTCCTCTGCACAGCTTACAAAGGACACAAAGGGGGTCCTTCCACTAGAATAGCTTTTGTGTTTATAGGAACCTGGAATGAATTTTTTTTGTATATGAAAATAGTTTTACATTTGTTACATAATTTTGTGCTTTAAAAACTTTTTAAACTAAAATATTTCTCTCTCAGTGACTTAAGTAGAGGGTACATCATCCTAGCTGGGGGAAAATGTTTTGTGTTTACTTACAATTCAAATCTTTAATTTCCCAGAAATGATTCGGTGACTGGCAATGGGAATGAATTTCTACACATATTAAATATGTTAAAAGTCAAACTGGTCACCCCTTGAACTGAATAAGTTCATTTTGGAAGAAATAGCTAATTAAATGTGAGATCATATTTGTGTTATTGATTGATTATAAGGGGACTTAAAGATTTTTGCCTTCTTGGCTTTTTAAAAAAGTAGTTTCTACTTAAGTTTAATTCTGGGAATGAAGTGTGTCCTTCCAGATAAATTTCTGGACTTCGTTTGATCTGAAAAAAAAGTTGTATAGCACAGTGTTTTTTCCTTATTGCCTGCTCACTAGAATTACTACTACTTTGATACTAGTCTATGGTAATCAGCTAATTTACAACCCATCTCAGAGTACTGATAATAGTTACTATTATCATTTAATATTTTAATCCTCAGTTTTCCAATTTTGCCTAATACAAAATATTTATTTACCATTTTTCAACTTTCAGTACAAGGTAGGTTATAAATATCAGGTAAACAGAATTTGAGAATTGTAAGGACTAAAATCATTCACTGTCATTTTTTTATCTTTAGAAAATAAAGTGTCATAAAGCCCTGTAAGTCAAAGCTTGTTCCATGGGAATAACATCTATCTTAAAAAATGTCTTTTGTAGAAATGTTATTATATAAGTAAACTGCCCTCAATATAGAGGAATTATAATTTCATTAAAATATTTTCTTAAATCTTGATGGTTTAACTTGAAACTTAATTAACGAAAAGATACTCCTTATATTTTTAAAGCAACCCTCGTAACCTAGCAATGTAAGTCTCACCCCTACCTGGTTTACTCTCTGAGTGCCCAAGGCTCATTACTATACATGTGCTCAGAAGTGATCTCCAGAGGTTTGTTTTATTTCAGTTGCTTCCAAATTTCCTAATAGATTTACTATATTCACATTGCCCAAGTTTAGTGATTTTACATTAGTTTTGGTTTCATGAAGATGCCAATAATTGGGAGAAGCACAGAAATCTTTTCAAAACATCATTTTTTTTAAAAAAGGAGTACCTTAGTGTTGAGTATCCTTAAAAGTATTACAATACTTAATAGAGCTAAGTTACAGGAGCTAAAAATCCCACAGGATCTTTCAATTCATGCTAAGCAATCATGTATTTGTTATTTATTTTTTGTGTTTTAAAATTTTATTTTTTATGACTTTCCAAAGAGGATATGATTTTACCATCCAAGAAAATGGACTTCAGATAGATCAACCTCCTGAAATAGGAAACACCTCTGTTGTTCGAATCATAATAATGAAAAATGATAATGCAGAGGGAATCATTGAATTTGACCCAAAGTATACTACTTTCAAAGGTAAGTCCAAGTGGCTTAATTGTATATTTTCCACCATCTTCTCAATTAGAAAGTACCTCAACATAGTATTCAGTTTGAATTTGCATATGTAAAATTTTCTTGGTTTGGTATATATATATATGTGTGTGTGCACACACATATATATACCTTTATATTTTTATATTTACTAATTTTGAAAATGTTTTTAATTATCAATATGAAGTCTTGAACCATTCTGTATATGGCAAAGCCAAATGGTTAAAAACAAGTAATTGTAGAAAAAAAATTATACTTAACCTTAGGATTATTAAAATGTTTCAGTTTTAAACATTTTAATGAAAACTTCTTTAAATTATTTAATTTCCTATGTCATAAGAAATTAGTGAATATTTACTTTTTAGTGAATAATTACCTTTGAAATGACTTTGTTATTGGTGCAGATGGAGGTAGTGTCTGGATCTTGATCCTATTTCTGGAAATAGTTTGAGTATCAGTTTCCCTTTGTAGAAGTTCCCTTCTATAGAAGCAGAGTACAAAATTCTTTGGTTATCTCGACATTTTTAAAGTTCATCAAAAAATCACTTGAGGAATTGGTTAATAATGACTCTTATGGGTAAATCATGCAAGACATTACTATTTCCTGAACTTTAGTATACAACTAGTAAAAGTTGTGTTGAATTTTTGCATGAAGAAAGAAATAGGATTTTGACTATTTTTTCCGTTTCCTAATTTTGATTCACTCTCTTTTGGGGAATCTTGGGTAATGCCTCTTTATATATAGTTTTTATGTAAGTGCAGTCTTATTTAGCCCTAGGTATGTGAACTCTATGAAATAATATTTTAATATATTGAGGTTAGTACAGCTCAAGTAGAAATAAAGATTTTAAAATTAATTTTTAAATTGAAATCAAGCATTGAGGTTGCATTTTCATATTCACAGTATATTTTAAAGGACCTGAAACCATAACAGAATTTTTTATGTGGATTTTTAAAGTATTCATATAAGTAGCATACATTTTATTTATTTATATTATTATCTTTCAACAAACTATATAGAACTAATCCATATATAAATTTGTAATCCATATATAAATTTGAAGTTTCTTAAGTCCAGCTAACATTGTCTTATAAACCAAGTCTTTATGTTTGTACGTGGTACACAGAGAAGGAATGCCTATGCTAATGATTAAATAGGTTGTTTGGATTCTAACCTTTACTCTTCACTATAACTTTCAACATCTAGTGAACTACATTATTCCTAAAAAAACGAGTCATGAAATTTTCACTAATCGTTTTTAAAGTGATAGATGAATTACAGAAAAAACAAGTGCTTGCCTTGTCACATAATGTTTAGTTACCTAGTTTAATTTGTCTGAATCTTATAAAAGTTGGTCGCTTTGTCCCGTGTACCAGTTAACTCCCAGTTCCCCTTACAGTGGAGGAGGATGTTCGAGCAATTGCGATCCCAGTGGTGAGGCTGCATGGAACTTATGGCACTGTGACTGCTGATGTCATCTCCCAGAGCTCCTCTGCTGTTCCAGGAGACGTCAGTTATATGCTGCACAGCAGTTCAGTCACCTTTCAGCATGGACAGAACTTAAGTTTTATAAATATCTCCATCACTGATGGCAGTGAAAGGTTGGTAATCCAGGAAACAGTGTGGGCCCACATAAAACATGATATTGAGATCTGACTCTAACATGCACCCATAATACATGTGCCCATTGAGAAAAAGCAGATGAAAGACTTTGGGGGATACTGGGCATAGGGAAAGGGGTTTCGGAAACCACCATGGTTGTCTATGTCATTTCCTTTTAAATAGAAGAGATAATTTCTATTCCTGTAGACTTAAAAACTCTAATCAGAATGTGGAAACATCCTTCAGTGCACTGCCTTAATCCTTAAGCAACTGAAAAGAGAGCAGGAAAGTCTAATAACTGTCCTAGGTTATGTAATATTGATGCTGATCATTCATGCTTTCAGTTAAGCACCCTCTTCTTCCATTTGGTGTGTGACTACTGTGCCTTGAATATGTATGATCAATTTGGAAAATGACTAGTTATTTGGATTTTACAAGCATTTTAATATGTTTAGACTCAGAATTGCTCCTTCTCACTATGCAGTGAATTTGAGGAGCCTTTTGAAATTCTTCTCACTGGAGCTACTGGTGGAGCGATCCTTGGGCGCCACCTAGTGAGCAGAGTCACCATCGCCAAGAGTGAATCTCCATTTAGCACTATAAGATTTCTCAATCAAAGCAAAATTTCTGTTCCTAACCCCAATTCCACAATGATTTTATCCTTGGTCTTCGAAAGAACTGGAAGACTCTTAGGAGAGATTCAGGTAGAGTTATTCTTTTTTTGGTTTTAAAAATAATTTTTGATAGGCTGTATATGATTTTGGATTTTCTTCTCCAAATATATATGCCTATTCACAATCAATAAATAGTATTTATTAATTACCTTGTATGGGTAAAATGGTTTCTGGATAAGATGAAGTACATAAAAGTATATTGGACATACATCTATCCTCAGGGAATTCTTGAGAGCAAGTTAATGATTCTGTTTAAATTAATCACTTCAACAAATATTTTTTTTATTTTTATGTTTTTTTTTTTTTTTTTTCGGTACCAGGGATTCAACTCAGGGGCACTTAACCACTGAACCACATCTCCAGCCCTTTTGCATGTGTTTTATTTAGAGATAGTGTCTCAATGAGTTGCTTAGTGCCTTTCTAAGTTGCTGAGGTTGTCTTTGAACTTGTGATCCTCCTGCCCAGCCTCTTGAGAGCCACTGGGATTATAGGCATGTGCTACTATGCCCAGCTTCAACAAGTATTTATTGGGAGATTTCTATGTGCTGATCCTGTTTTAAGTACTAAGAACATATTTGTGAATTAGACAGAACTCTTATGTGTTCTTACAGAGTGCTCATTTTAGAAAACATTACTAAACAGTAATAAAATTAGTATAAACACATTATCTGATGACAATTAAGGCTCTGTTTATAAAATTGGGAGATACAATTGTGAATGACCTGCTATCTACTTTTATTTTTTGTGTGGCACTAGAGGCTAAACTTAGGGCACTCTATCACTGAACTATACTTGAGCCCTTTATTATTTTTCACTTTGAAATGGATTTTGCTAAGTTGCCCAGGCTGGCCTTGAACTTGCAAACCCCCTCTTCAACCTCCTAACTAGCTGGGATCACAGGCCTGCTCCATCATGCCTGGCTGCTGGCTACCTTCAATTGGATGTTGAGGGTATGATGTTGAAGCTGAAGGCTGAGGGCATGTAATTGTTAGAGGGTTGAGAATGTGGGAGTAATAGGTCCTGCAGAGACATAGCCTGACATGAGGTAGGAGAGGTCCCAGTGGTCAGGGCTTGTAAGTGATGGTACAGTAGTAGTACAAGATAGATCAGAGGGTCAATAGGTACTTAATCACATAGAACCTCCTTTGCCAAGTGAAAGATCAATTCTGGGTGAAAATAGGATCCTATTACAGAGACTTAAGAAGGGAAATAATGTCATGGATTGTCATCGAAAGCATCTCACCCTGAATACTGTTAGGAAAGTGGTTTGCCCAGAAGCCATTGAAGCAGTGTAGAAGCAGCAGGGATTAAGTTAGGAGGCTACTGCCCTCTGCAGAAATGGTGGTGGAAAGAGATGATCAGTGAATAAACATTGAGTGTGTTTTGGAGGAAATTTCACTGGGTTCAAATTGGAGGCTGAGAGAAAGAGAGGAATCAAGGATACCTTCTAGAATTTTAGTTTGAACAATTGGCTAAATAGTACTGTTTTCTGATATTCAGAAGTTTGGGGGTGAATTGGGAGTTCTGTTTTGCCATGTTAATTTGAGATACTAGTTGACATGCCAGTGGAGGAGTCAAGTAGGCAGGGGAGTGTGTGAGTGTATGCACAGTGTGTGGTCAGGGCTCTGGCACAGAGTGGGAATACACTGACACTCAGAGAGTTGTTTGAAACCTTGAGACCAAGGAGTGTAGATAGTGATGTGGAAAGTATGTAGCTGAGCCCTGGGCTTCTGGAATTTAGCATTCAGAGCAGAGAGCCAGCAAAGAAGACTGAAAGTAAAGGTGGAAGAAAACCAGGAAGGCATGTGCCCTGTAAGTACCATACAAGCCAAGAAAGATAGCAAGAAAAAGTAATGGTTCAGCTGTGTCTAGTGCTGCTGAAAGATCAAGTGACAAGCAAAAACAAGTGCCCCGTTTTGTTTTTTTTTCTTCATAGTTGATATGAAAAATATGCAATTTGGAATTATTGAAATTCAAAAATACATTTATTATAATGTGAAAAATTTTTACTTATAACAACTTATGAAGATTTCTGTTCATTTTACAATAAGAATTTAAACTACATTTAGAAGGAGCTGCACACTCACCAGAATGTTCACATAGCTTTATTGTCTTCTTCCGATATGCTTCGATTGGCAAAAACTGTGTACACAGCAGGACAGTGTTGTACTCATAAATTTTAAAAATGTTTGAATTTTTCTGATATTTTAAAGTATATTCCTGCTATCTTGTGGTCATTACGAATGACTAGATGTTAATATTTTTCATCTCTTCTTAGATACTTTATGAAAACTGACATTCTATATAGACATGTAGGTTATATTTGCAAATGCCATTGTTTTTTAATTAAAAAAATAAGCTGATAAAGTAGGAATTCTCTGGAGATATCCTATAATAATAATTAATATATTTATAATAGTTTTATAAATATATGGATGTAAATTTTTTTCTAATACTATATATACTGCAATAATCCTTTGGTTAAAACTGATCTTATCTATTAAAAAATAAAAAACAAAACATTTTGCAGGTAAACTGGGAGATAGTAGGACCCAATTCTCAGGAAACCTTACCACCACAGAACAGAGACATTGCAGACCCAGTGAGCGGATCCTTCTTCTTTGGAGATGGAGAAGATGGAATGAGAACCATAATTCTGGCAGTCTATCCTCATGAAGAAATTGAAGTTGAAAAGACCTTTGTAATTAAACTTAAACTTGTGAAAGGAGAAGCTAACTTAGACTCCAGAGCTAAAGATATTACATTAACTGTAAGTCTGACTTTACCTACAAAATTTCATATTCAATAATTTATCAAATACATTTATAGTTTGAAACTCTATATGCTTGTGTTGAATTGAAAATTATGAAGCCATAAGAAGTCATAGTGATTCCTACAGATCAAACTTTTTCATTTTTATGTTTGTTCATGACATAGCCTGATTATTAGCAATTTTTAAAAAGTTTGAAGAGAGTGATACTTATTTTACAATCTTTGAGAAAATTTGGTGTTTTGGGAATATTTGGCACTTTTACAAAGGAAATATTTGTTATGTCATCTTTGTCTTCAAAATAAAGAAAAATTATTAATGTGCTACAAATCAGGTTTTTTGAAGAAAGAATGCACTTGTTTGATTATCACAATGATTTGGTATTAGATTAGACCTGGATTCAATGTATTTGATATGAATCACCTAGTTATGAGGGCCAGAATTACTGGGAATTAAGTAGCCCAGAATTAGTAGGCTACTGAAAACAATGTAGAGAGATAGCACAATTTGATTTTTTTTGTTTGTAAAATACTCTTGTTTGGAATCTACTTCTGTCATAGTATTCTGAAGAAAGAGAACCAGTAGACCCATACACATAGAGTAATTGCAAAAGAGAAAGATATTTTAAGGAATTGACTCCTGTGATTATGGGAGTTGGCAGGCAGGAAACCCAGGAAAGAGCTGAAGCTGTCTGTGGGTCTTGACTGGGAATTCGTGGGGCAAACTCAAGCAAGGTTCCTGAGTTACAGTCTTGAGGCACTATTTCCTTCTGCTGCAAGAAACTTCAGTGTTTGCTTTTCAGTTCTTCAGTTGGCTGGATAAGGCCACCCACTGTAGAGGCTGATCTCCTTTATTTAGAGTCAGCTGATCCTTAAGGTTAATCATATCTATAGAACACCTTTTGACAACATCCAGACTGTTGTTGGACCAAACAACTGGAGGTATAGTCCTTCCTGTTTGAGGCATAAAATTAAGCATTACAGGGCCTTTTTGCCTCTGTCCACTTTATGCCATAGCTAGAAAATTAAGATGAATAAAGCAAAAATTAGGTATCAAATTCATATCATTTTCAGGTTTTGCAAATTATAATTTTCTGCATACTTGTTCCCATTATTTTTATGGAATAAAAACCTATTCATGTTAGACAACAGTTAGTATAGTAGTTTACTCTCTTTTTTTAAATCAAGTAGGTAAATATATTATAGTCAAATGTTATTTCTATGTTTCTTCTATTTTCTCGGCTTATTGGTGCATTAATATGTTGGATGCTATAATTTCATCATAGTTGTTTATTTACTCTGTTCTCTTAATGGTCTTTATTTATTTATTTTTTTTTTAGATACAAAAGTTTGGTGATCCAAATGGAGTTGTTCATTTTGCTCCTGAGTCTTTATCTAAGAAGACTTATGTGGAGCCACCAGGTTTGGAAGGACCGCTGGTCATCACTTTCTTTGTCAGAAGGGTAAAGGGCACCTTTGGAGAAATTACGGTATTATTTTTCATTTGATTTTTCCAAGTATACCAATTTACCAATTGAATGTGGTCAAGAGGGACAGAGAGCCTGCATTTTTCTTTAAAGTTTTTGAAAAACTAAAATTACTTGGGTTTTTGAGATAAATTGAGAGGCTTCATTTAAGCACCTCTGGGCTCTCCAGATCTCATCAAATCTGGTTTTCTTTCTAAATTCAATATGACTACAGTTAGTGTGTGAAGGACCTTTCTCAGGCTTCATTGTGAAGGACTGAATATTTTGTATTTTATTTCTTGCTATAAATATGGAGCCTTTTCTGTGTAAGCCTCTTGATTTTTTTTTTTTTTTTAGAAATTACTTATTATATTCTTTAGGGCTTTATTTATCAACAGGATTTCTCCATTTAGCAAGTGTTTTTTAAGGGGTTGCATTTGTGTGTTTATTGATATAAACTGAGGATTCTCTTGGAAGTTCTCTTGGTATTTGGCTAAGGTCAACGACAGACATTTCTTTGCTAGAAAAATATATTTTGTGAAATTTCTGCATACAGTTAACCTCTCTTCCAGTAATGGATATTAACTGATACTTCTTCAGTTGAATTTTTATAGTTTGGAGTTCAACAATGCTTGGGAAGTAATGATAAATTCTTGATAATTTATAAATATTTCCTTTATATTTAAAATAAACAAAACCAAATTCTGATGTGAATCATCAAAGTTTCTACTTATTTTTATCTTAAAATATCGTATATGGTTCACTAATTAATGTAATTATGGAATTGGTGTGCTAAAGTTAGTTAACTTGCTTTTCTTTCTTCAAAATACTCTATTATTTTAGAAGCAGGTCAAATAGTGAGAATTTTAAATCATGTTCTGCAAATTACAATGAAGGCCTGCAGTGATTCATATACTACACAAACTTACATATACTTAGAGGATTTGGCTTTGAATGTAATGATGCACAACAAAATTTATTTTTGAACTTTATAAAGGGATATTTAATTTATTTGGTTTAATATAGTGGATTATCTAACTTTGTTGGAATTTTTCCCCTTTATTTTAGATTTACTGGGAATTAAGTAGTGAATTTGATATCACTGGTGACTTTATTTCCACAAATGGATTTTTCACCATGGCTGATGGAGAGACTGATGCAAGCTTTGATGTTCATTTGCTGCCAGATGATATACCTGAGATAGAGGAGGACTGTGTGATGCAGCTAGTTTCTGTAGAGGGAGGAGCAGAACTGGATGTGGAAAAATGCATCACATGGTTCTCTGTGTCTGCAAATGATGATCCACATGGAGTATTTGCCTTGTATCCAGATCACCAGTCAATACTTATTGGACAGGACCTTATTAGATCTGTCCAAATTAATATCACCAGGCTTGCTGGCACATTTGGAGATGTGGCTGTTAGATTTCGAATATCATCTGATCATAAAGAACAGCTAGTTACTACTAAAAATGCAGAGATGCAGCTGGTGGTTCAAGATGGTGCCAGATATAAAGTTGACATGGTTCCAATAAAGAATCAGGTTTGTGATATCCTTATTATTCTTTTAAGGGAGTCTTTGCTTACCTCATGATTAGTTATGAGTCTTGCTTAGACATTTAAACATATCAATGAAAAGGCCTTAGGGAATGCATAGTAATTATTGGACAATGCTTTTGTAGATTATAAATGACTAAGTATATTTGTCTAGATAATAGGAGGGATTATTCAATACTTACAAAGTTCCAGGATAGTATAGTGAGAGAGACTTATTCTTGCTCTCTGGGACTTGAAGGGCCTGCATTAAGTATAGAAACTGATACCTGCTTCTGTCCTTGAAATTTTGGACATCAGTATGATTTTTTTTTAATTTTTATTTTTTAATTTTCAGCAGACACAACATCTTTTATTTTTTGGTATGTGGTGCTGAGGATGGAACCCGGGCTGCACGCATGCCAGGCGAGCGCGCTACCACTTGAGCCATATCCCCAGCCCTCAGTATGATTTTTTTGAGAGTATTAAGAAAGAGAGAGTAGCACATCTCTCTGCCATCATTTGTGCCATAAAAAGAGTGATAAAAAGGCCTAAATTTCCTGTTGGTCAAGTAGATACCCCAGCAGTCTTTCTCAGTCTTTGAACCCACAGAAAGTGATTTTAAGTGACTGTTTATCTTAATCCTTACAAGGATGGTGCAAACCACATCATTCTCTATGATAGGAGAGAAGTTATTTAATTGAATTATCTTATGATTAATAAAGATTGCCCAAAAGGTAGCCAGATTGCAGTTACGATGTGAAGAATCAGTAGGGTGCATTGTGAAAAATGGGGTGAATCACAAAGTCATCAAGAGAATAAGTTGTCTCTTCTGAGGAACACTGAGGAGTTGAATTCTGAAGCCTTTGAGGAACACCCAAATGGAGGCCATGAAGTTGAATCAGAGATATGGAAGGCCATGCTGAAGAACATGATCACCGCCTAAATATTAGGGCGCTATTTTCATGGAGCTGTGGTGGCTGTCAGTGTTGGCCAAGAAAGGAGGATAGCAGAGAGTCAAAGTTTTTGTCACTCTTAGAGAGGCCTTCCTCTTGTCCCAATCCTGGAAGTGTCAGATGACTGATGGGAAGGTCCTGGGGCTGAGGTTTGGAGGAGTACTGAAATCATAGTATGACCTCTTTCTCTTTATAGATCCTAATCAAGCAAGAACTATCATAAACAGGGAGCTTGGATTGAATGTGAGATTGGAGTTTCAGTTTATGTAGGCCTAGTCTTTTGTATTCCTAAAAATGACAGAAAGTTTTGAGATTTACTTGCAACAAATAAAGGATGATGGAAAGAGACTTCACAAAACACAAAGCAAGAGAGAAATGATGTAGCTTCTTATTTGTTTCATCCATTTTATGTAAAGTTGCAATCAATAGAAGAAAGGCGGTCATTCAGAATAAGTAACAAGTCCATTACACTAATTCATGCTTACTGTGTAAGTTTTTGATCTTTTGTGCACCTAGGTCTTTAACTGTATTTGGTGTTTGATACAAGAGAAAAATGGAGGCTTGTTTGTGAGACGTGGGATTCATAATTATTACTACGAGCCTGTAGTTTTCTGGGAAACTGACTTAAGGTCATGGCCCTGATTTATAAATTTTTAAACTCCAAATCCTATATCCAAAATAGTGCAATACTGGGTAAAAGAGAGGGAAATTAAGTTAACCAGAAAATCATTGTATTAAGTCTCTTTTACAAATTAGAAGAAATTTTCAAAAATACATCGTGCCTAAATTATATAACTGGAAACATTCTCCAACACATTCATAGCATCACATTCTGAACAGTCAATTATAAGCTGCTAATGAATACTAGGGGTCATTCTTTAACTTTTTAAGGAATAGATTTGTATCATTTTATATATTGCATTAATTTGCCAACAAGCCTTCCACAGAGAAGATTATTGTATTATTTTGCTAACTGATGTGTACAGTTGAAAGTTGCACTCACCTAAAATATATGATATATATTACATGGACTAAGACACTTGATCTGCCTGGCTATTAGATAGCTTTTTGTGGTACCTAGATCATTTTGAATGATATAGTTCTTCTTTCATTTTACTTGGACAGCATAATGGCATAGTTTATGAAGACACTTAGATTTCCTAATACCACATTTGAATTATGTATAGTGTTCTTAAAATCTTCTTTGAACCTAGTTTGTTCTTATGGTTTCTAAATTTCAAGAATAGAAATAAAATTTACTAGCTCATGCATACTGAGAAGCTTGCTATATTTGCTTACTATAACTTCTTTCATTAACCTATTTCAAATGCATGGATTCTTTCTTCTTCACTCCTATAGTTGGCAATGTGTAGTATAAAATTGCACATAATTAGATATTGGTGAGTTAGTTTTTCAAAGTAACTTTTCGGGTCAAGATGCAACATGCTTATAAAACAAGGGCAGGATTTTTTTAAGGATCCACTTAAGGATCCACTTTAAGGATCCTCCCATCCGAGATATAACACATTGTTCTTTGAGGTTTGGGATATTATTACACAATATAGTTACACAGCACATAGTGCAGAGTATGTAATTCTTCTTGCTCCATACTTCTGGGTAAAAGTTAGGATTTCAGACAGGTCAGGATAGGCCAACCAAAGGGAAGACAACCAAGGCCATGACATGTTTAATCTGTTGTGATGTGGCTACTTTCAAGCGGGTCTTTGAACAAGGAAAGCTTCTGCTAAGACTCTTGATGTAGGTTTAAGACCTGGACCATGGACCACACCTCTCTAAGAAGTGGGTTCTTGGATGAGGCACACACTGACTGCAGGAACCACTGGTTCACTGAAGGAACATGTCTAGGTTTAAAGGGCTTAAGTGGGAAGAATGAAGGAGGAGATTTACCTTTGTGGTTGGGTCATTTTTTGAGCACTCATCTCTGTGCTGGTGTTTATGGGAAGCAGAATAGATACAAATATGATTGAGACACATTTTCTGTCATCCTGGTCCTTTTGTGGAGTGTAAGAGAGGCTCATTAACAACCAATTAAAAAAGTATGTGGGTGCACAGTGTTGGAAATCATGGGACTATAAATTCTTTCTGTTTGTGCCCAAATGGCATTAAGAGTGATGAGAAATATATAAAATAGCACTGACGAGGTAGTCTTGGATCAGGGATATGGAAGGCCATGTTGAAGAACATGATCACTGCCTAAAACTTTCAAGTTCCTTTTCAAACTCATCTAACCACTCTTCTGTAGGTAGACCAGCTATTCCTCAAATCTGTTGTGACCACAGTTCAATTTTAATGTTTAATTCCTGCACCTTGAGGAACTGCTGCATCACACAAGTCTGGGATGGGCCCATGAACAGAGAGTTAATAGGAAAGGCATCAGGGACTCTGTGCTTATGATGACACCTCATCCTTCATTCTTTAGAAAATGGGAATAAATTATCACTAGCTACCCAGCTAGGTGGGGTACACATAATTAAAGTTTAATATTATGATTTGTTTCCTTAACATTTGAACTAAAATTCATGTTTAGTTATGTAATTTCTTTTCACAGTATGACATTGAACCAACAAATATTAGGCGAGTGCTCTACCACTAAGCTCTCCCCTGGCTCAGTAAATGTCATTTGGAAAGAATGAAACATCTTTTGCCCTTAGGTTGCACATCATTTGAAACTGCTATGGTGTACCCTTTGTACATTTGAGGAAATTACACGTTTAAGTTCATTATATTTGAAAGAAGAAGAGACTGCATAGAAGTGGTTGCTTTTATATTTAACAAAGATACAAAATTTTTTAGGAATAGTTCAGGTTATGGAACAACTTGGGGTTAGCCATTACCAATAACAATGTTTCTATGTAAAATTGTATTATAAGTTTCAAAAATACTTTTAGTGTAACATCAGTTTGTAAGTTGAGAACTTCCCCTATTAGATTTTAAAATTTTGTTCACTGGTAATTTAATACATGATGTTAGTAATTTTTATTTATCCACCATTCAAATAATCAAGACACCTAATTCATTGTCCATTTTGAGTAAATATAATCAATTCGTTATGAATTAATGAAGAGGAAGAAAGTGGGTTTTGCTGGGTTTCAGGGCCTGATAATATTCAACAGTGTGCTCTTTCCATTCCTTTGACACATGATTTCTTCACCAACACTGCTACTTCATTCCTTTTTGAGACTATTTGAGCACACATGGAACGTTTGCAAGTTTTTATACTATGCAACGACCACTCCTCACTTCACACTCTAAATGCTAGAGGTTTGTTTTAAGACTAGAGGTCACACAATGATGAAATTGCTACTAAGGGAACCTCAGTCAGTGTGCTAAAAGCTCATTATATTACTCTGAAAATCATTTCTTAACAACTAAAAAAATGTAATTGATGCTGTTGGTTTCTAGGTCTTTCTGTCACTGGGCTCCAATATCACCTTGCAGCTGGTGACTGTGATGCTCCTCAGTGGAAATGTCTATGGAATGCCAACAATTCTCCAGGAAGCAAAATCCACTGTGCTTCCAGTCCCTGAAGAAGCAGCCAATTCTCAGGTAATTGGCCCTGGTGAGGTACTGCAGCTTCACAGGAAGGACCAAGTTCCTAGAGAGTTTCTTAAATATCAACTATTCAATCTGAAAAATCCTGTGAATATCAAAGTTGACATAATAGATAAATGATATAAAAGTAATTTGTCAACTTTCAATATTGGTTAGGAAATATGTTTACTTTTTTAGGGTTTTAGAAAATTTTTATCTTGTAGAATTTGAATGTAAGTTGTGGAATTTTAAAAATAACAGTCAACCTAAAGTTGAAATGCCCAAGTCTTTTCTTGATATCAACTATTTACTATCGAGTTACTTATACTAAGTAACTAAAATTAGAGTTAAATATTAGTGAATATTTCAGATCTTTTCATGTTTGTCTTTGCCATGCAGGCTTTGGTTTACTGTACAAGTTTGTGCTGACTTAGATAAATGCTAGAAGTCTTTCTGTGATATGGTTGCACCCAAGTATCCGAGTTGTCCAATTTCATCACAGGAAAAATTATTGCCCAATCATTTCAGCAATTCGAAGGAGAACAAAGGCCTTACGTTCTTTTATTTTGATTCTGTCCATATAAGACAAAGCTAGGTCTGCTGTCTATGGCTATGGCAACATGATGTCTGTTTGAAGATGTTATGAGATATAATTTCACCTTACTCCTTCAGATGGGAGCTCAAATGACAAGCCTGGCTTGAGATGCTACTGATGTGGAATCCGTGTGGTTGAATGGGTAGGAATATGGGCAGATACAGAATGCTCTTTAGCTACTCTTTCCTGGGTATCTTCTTCATAGCAAGTGCATTTGCTCTGTCCTCTAAAGTGGAATCCACCAGCATTAAAAATTATTGAAAGGAACAGGTTTGTTTTCTTTTGTTCAAGAATGAATAAGAAAATAGAATTTACTAAAAGTCTCTGAAACATTGTTGGGTTTTTGTGCTCACTGGTTATTATTAAATAGATTCGTTTTATCCCAAGCCATTCATTTGGAGTAGCTAAGTATTTCTACTCTCTACCCATGCACAACACTTCACCACCCACCCTGAAGGGCAACGTTATGTGTGCAATGTATCCTCTGTACTCCTGCCAGTATTTACACAGTGTGTGTATGTGTGCTTGTGATGTTACTAGGGTATGTTCCTATAGTCCTCCAGCCATGTAGCAAGCATAATCTCACTCAAAGCTCTTGGCATTTGCTAACCTGAGATCTCGGTGACAGAGACTCTAGACTAGTGTCAAGTAAAAGTTGTCGCTGTTGTTTTCTCCTCTGTGATTCCAGAAGCTGTCTTTCAGCATCCTCCCACACTCTTCTACTATTCTTCTTTCTAATTTTAAAAGAGGAGAATAAGTCTTACAATAAAACCATTGATCAAATGATATTTCAAATTTACAGCTATTGAAACCAGAAGAAGTAATCTGAGCTGTCTGAATCACAATGTGAAACTAGAAATCTGGTTTTATTTTAACTCATTGACCAGAACTTATTTCATCTATAAATCACATGCCCTGGGATGTGATGCTTGTGAAAAGGACAGTTATTTTTTAAAAAAAATCTTTGAAGTTTTCTGATCTTCACAAAAAGATATCAAGTTGAATCAAAGAATTGAAAACCTTAATAGAAGGTCCAGTCCATGATGCTCATTTTGTAAATGAAGAAATATGTTGTTATATCTTAGAAAGAGGTTGGATTTCAGTTTTAGACAAATCAGGTTGTTATATTTAAATGCTTTTTAATTTTTTTTGCTTTTATTTAATTATTGTTTTATTTATTTTTAGGATATTGTCCAATGAAGGAATTGCATTTTATTCAAAAAGAGAAAGCTATAGATTATAATCTAAATTATGAAGCAGAATAAATTTTCAAATATGAGATTTTATTTCTTAAACCTTTTTTAATTGAATATATTGTAAAAAAAAAGAAAATATATAAACAAAAGGAAATTTGACATTTAACACACTCTTCAAATTCCCTGGAAATTTTCAAATGAAATATGAAATAATCTAAACATGTTTTTCTTCAGGTTGGATTTGAATCCACTGCTTTTCAACTCACGGATATCACTGCCGGCACAAGCCAAGTTATGATTTCTAGGACAGGAACATATGGTGCTCTCTCAGTGACCTGGACCATAGGATATGCTCCTGGGTTAGAAATCCCTGAGTCTATCACTGTTGGTAACATGACCCCAATACTGGGTGAGTTGTAGTGTTTCTAAGATCAGCCTATAGGATAGGCAGGTGTGTAACTGGCCACTTTCTTGGGTCATCATTCCTCTGGACACTAAACTATTAGCTTCCTAGTATAGTGTTCCCATATGTAAGTGATCAGGGTTGTGAGAGCAGATTGGTGAGGAAGAGAGAAACTTTTTTTGAGACACATTGAGGACTTCATACCTTACCTCAAAACAGTAGTCACTAAGCAGAATGCTTTGCCAATACATTAAGAGTTTGTTAAAAGTAGTTCTAAGTACCTTATTTGGTCCATATGGTAATGAAAAAGATGTAACTTTGCATCAGTTTACATGTCCACTCTAATATTTCTGATAGAACAACTGTGGTTACTTCACATACTGAATTTTTAAAATTATATCATTAACTTTTTGAGTAAGACATAAGCATTGGATGGTTTGACCTCTGCCGTGTTATACAGAGCCCACTGCAAATCCTTGTGATGGCAGTTCTAAAGGAGATCTCAGTGGACTCGGAATCTTTGTGCTTCCCCCTCTTCCTGTCATTTATTTACAGTGTCCTCCTGGTCACCAGGCAAATACCATGTACCATTAGTCATAAGTGTAGTGAATCCTGTGTAAGAACTGAGATCATAGTCTCTCTGTGAAGATGGAAAGATTTTCATGTTCTCATGTTCTCATCCAAAAAATGGAATAAAAACCTGAAATCCTTTAGATGAGGGTGAGAGCCTAGGACAGAGAAAATGACAATATTGACAGGCCAGCTTGCATCCCAACAGGAATCCCAGTAGTTCAGAGTGAATTTAGATGCTTGGTTAAGAGCCACCATAGCATTAGAACTGCCTTGGTTACTGGGGTTTCCATAGCCACTGGATAGGTAATGTTGATATAATGTATCAAGTACTTCTTCTGCTTGATTTTCCTTTCAGCACATCCCCTAAATCAAAACTATTTTATCATCTTTTTAATCTATTTTCTGTAGTAACACTTATTTGTTACTCCCCTACCCTACTGTCAATTTGGGTGATATGCACAGCTTCTTATATCCTATCTATTTATTTACTTTTGTGCTGGTAACAACTTAGAAAATTTAAAAATATTTATCTGTGAATACATTGCTCTTTATGTCTGTGTATGTTACTGCATTTACATATGAAATTAATCTTCAGAAATTTTAGTGAATTTATAATAACTTGCTTATTTTAAAATTACAGAAGTTCCCCAAAATAGATTTATATCTTTAAATAGGGTTGATTAGGTTTTTTGAGATTTTTCTAATAAATTTTTCAACACAATGGAAAATAAAATATAATGAATACCCACAAACTCACTGACTAGATTTAACAGTTATTATATTCTACCATATTGTAACATTTATTTTTTTCTGAATTAACCTAAAATAACATACATACATTGTGATATTTTGTCCTAAACTACTTCAAGATGCATTTCCAAAGCATCCTGGGGTCGAATTTGAACCAGTGCCTGACCCTTGACACTAAGTACTGGTTGACTCTTGCCTAACACTATTCTCTTTTCACGACTGGATTTGGCAATGAAGCCGGGGGCAGGGGAAGATAAGTGATGAGTAGAAAGGGACTGAAAGTCGGGTTTATATCGTTAGGGGAGCTTCTGCAAGTTTATTTATATACCTTTCCCTTCCCCAGTTTTTAATATTTTATCTTTTGTGGACTCTACCAAAACTTTGGAAAAGAAAATATTTCACTGCATGTGTAAGAGTCAAATTCCAATTTAAGAACCTAAGAGCGAGCCTGCTTCACTTTTCACATTCCTTTCAGGGAGCCTGTCATTTTCCCATGGTGAACAAAGGAAAGGAATTTTGCTGTGGACCTTCCCCAGCCCTGGTCGGCTGGAGGCCTTCGTCATTCACCTGTCAGGTGTGCGGAGCAGTGCTCCTGGTGGAGCCCAACTCCGGTAAGACCAACCTGATTCTCAACCCAGAAATTCTCTGACGAATGGTCTGGGATATCATTCATTACAAAAGAAAGCACAGGGGTCACTGTCCTTGAAGCAGATGCAAACCATTTAACTGTAAAGCAACATATAGCCTGCATGCCAAAGATGCCGCCTGGGAGGCTGGGTCTCAGCAGTCATCACTCTGTTTGCTTTACAGAGCTCATCATGAACTTTAACTTGAGAGTGGTGGCCCTGAGTCCCATCCGCAGTAGGAACTGTGGCGTCAAATATGCTTGTTTTAAAGGAAACTGTCTTTTGCAAAGCCACTGAAAATACCTGATTTCCCCAAGTGATAACAAATAAGAATAAAACATCATAGTAGTGTAATAATGTTACTTATTCAAACAAGTAACTCCTTGACTTTAAGTTTATTTAATTTTGTGATGTATCTATTATAACTATTCATATGGAATCAAGCATATTTGCAATTAAATATATCCCGCCTAAAAGCAGTTTATTTTTCTCATGCCTGAGATGCACTTGGCCAGAACAGCAGAAGGCAGATCTGAGAACCACACTTATTAGTTCTGGCTCTGCCACTGATTTGCTGTGTGGCTTTGGGAAAGTTACTTGGTCTTTCTGTTCCTCAGTTTGCTTATTTGTAAATTGAGGAAAATATGTGTACAAGACTATTGTGCATGCATGCACATTTATGTGGGAGGGCATCTGTTGGTGAAGTCAAACATGGCTTTAGATTACACATTATGCATATGTCATTTAAAAAGAAATGGTTTGTCCAGAGAACATATTTAAAGGTCATAAATTCAAATGCCTTTAACAACACCAATAATAGCTTTCAGTTTTATAGTGCTTCTCCTAAACCACACTGCTTTATGCTGTGTACACACACACACACACACACACACACTCTTCGTTCTTCCAAAAAGCCACTGTTTGGACTAGATATAACTATTTATCCCATTATATAAATGAAGAATGATTTATACATAAGGTAATAAACATAGCATCTACACAGCTCAGTGTTCTGGCCATAATTTGGACCCTGACTGTTTTGTCACAGGCTGAACTCTAACCACTAATTTATGTGCTGATAGTGCTTGACAATATAGAGGGATAGGCCTGGGGTGTCTTCCTTAAAAGCACTCAAATTTACATTTAATTTATTTACATGTTAAACTCTGTTAGTCAAAGAAAACATGTCCATGGTCAGAATTAAGACTGATGGGCCACCAGTTGCAATTTTTGATATAGTTATTAATTCACAATAAAAATTCATAGGAAAAGGATAAAATTTTAAACCATGGATGTTTCTTCCAATTTATATAGAGAGTTTTAGCGACATTTACATGAGAGAATATTCCCATTACTGACAGTTTGAGGAGATAAGAATTGTGTTCCTAGTACTAGTAAATATTCCTATTTGGTAGACAAGAACACTGTCTGATGTCTAGAGCATCACAGAGATTTTGGTCTTCTTTTATGCATCATAAGAGAGAGGCTGAGGCTTCAAATTCCTCTGTTAGTGGCCCCAGGATGATGGGGTTTATATAGAGTTTTTATAGATGATAATGTTTATAGCAGAGACCTAAGAGCTCTTCATTTAGCCAAGACTTGTTAAGTCCTTTCTCTGTCACTGTTGCTCATTCATTTCTTGGGTATGGAATTTGTAAGGCCATGTCATTTAGAAGATGCTTCATGAGCAGCATCATAAATGTATAAAAGAATACTCCCTATAGTGGTAGTCATGTTTTAATCAATTCTCATGGTTTTAAATTTTTCCAGATCAGGTTTCACCATTGCTGAAATTGAACCTATGGGAGTCTTCCAGTTTTCCCCTAGTTCAAGAAGTATCACGGTTTCGGAAGATATACAGATAATCAGATTACATGTGCAAAGACTGTTTGGGTTCCACAGTGATCTTATTAAAGTTTCCTATGAGACAACTCCAGGAAGTGCAAAGCCACTGGAAGACTTTGAGCCTATACAGAAAGGGGAAATGTTTTTTCAAAAATTCCAAGCTGAAGTTGATTTTGAAATAACCATTATTAACGATCAGCTTCATGAGATGGAAGAAACTTTTTATGTTAATCTTACTTCAGTAGAAATTCAGGGTCTACAAAAGTTTGATGCTAATTGGAGACCACGCCTGAATCTAGATTTCAGTGTTGCAGTGATCACAATATTGGATAATGATGATGTGGCAGGCATGGATGTTTCTGTCCCCATGACAGCTGTGGCTGTCGCAGTTGATACCACTCCCATTCCTATAGAAACTGACTCTACCACACATCCTGGCACAAGCGAGTTAACTACCATTCCTCAGACAACTGAGATGGCTGCCATCATTACTGAGACAACTGATATGTCCGCCACCCCTGAGAACCTTGTCACCGTTCATGGTTCATCTACCATGCCTGAGAAGCCTGACATGACCACTGTAACTGCCAGTATTTCCATTCACGGAACTTTTAGTCTTGGCCCCCCCATTGTTTATGTTGAAGAGGAGATGAAGAATGGCACATTCAATACTGTGGAAATTCGTATCCAAAGAACTGGTGGGTTTGAAGGCAATGTCAGTGTAACAGTTAAAACTTTTGGTGAGAGATGTGCTCAGAAGGAACCAAATGCGTTGCCTTTTCAGGATATCTATGAAACCTCCAACCGGACATGGGCAGTTGAAGAAGAAGACTTTGAAGAACAAAGTCTTATCCTTATGTTTCTGGATGGAGAAAGAGAACATAGAGTATCTGTTCCAATTTTGGATGATGATGAGCCTGAAGGGCAGGAATTCTTCTTTGTGTTCCTCACAGACCCTCAAGGGGGAGCACAGATTGTGAAGGGAAAGGATGCCACTGGATTTGCAGCTTTTGCCATGGTTATTATTGCAGGTATCTTTGAAGTGATAGAGGTAAAATATGTACTTTTGTGGCCTGGAAGTTGTAATAAGATCAATCTATTTAAGTTTAGCTTAAGACGGTGAATTACATGAGTCACTAGAGTTAATATTTTTTTATTGGTTCTTTTTAATGATACATAACAGTAGAGACCATTTTGATAAAATTGTACATGCATAGAATATGTCTTAATTCTAACTGGGATCCCATGTTGTATTCCTATATGTACATAGGAAAGTTATGTCCGATCCATTCCATTGTTCTTCCCATTCCCATCCCCCTTCCTTTCCCTTGCATTCCCCTTTGTCTAATCCTCTGAACTTCTATTCCTCCCCATCTCCTTATTATGAGTTAGCTTCTACATATCAGAGAGAACATTTGCCCTTTGGTTTGCTGGGGTTGGCTTATTTCACTTAGCGTGATAGTCTCTAGATCCATCCATTTACCAGCAAATGTCATACCCACATTCTTATTTATGACTAAGTAATATTCCATTGTGTACATATACCACAATTTCTTTATCCATTCATCGGTTGAAGAGTACCTAGGTTGGTTCTGTAGCTTAGCTATTGTGAATTGTACAGCTATGAACATTGATGTGGTCGCACCACAGTAGTGTGCTGATTTTAAATCCTTTAGATAATATACCAAGGAGTGGAATAACTGGGTCAAATGATAATTCTGTTCCTAGTGTTTGAGATTCCTCAAGAATCTCCACACTACTTTTCAGAATGGTTGTACTAAATTGCAATCCCACCAACAATGTATGAGTAAACTTTTTTTCCCACATCCTCACTAACAATTATTGTTACTTGTATTCTTTATACTGGCCATTGTGGTTAGAATGAGATGAAATCTCAGTTTTCATTTGCATTTCTCTAATTGCTAGAGATGTTGAACATTTTTTCATATGTTTGTTGACCATTTGTATCTCTTCTTTTGAAATGTGTCTGTTCAGTTCTTTTGCCTATTTACCAACCGGATTATTTTGGGTTTTTTGGTGTAATGCTTTTTGAGTTCTTTATATATCCTGGAAATTAACACTATCTGAGGTATGGGAGGAAAAGATTTAAAATCAGCATGCTACCAGTCACATCCACATGGTCATAGTATCCTGAGTTTTTCACTCTTCCTGTAAATGTACCCTTCATCTCTTTCTCACTTGGCTCTTTTTCTTCATAATATTTCAGTTTTAACTGGATCATTAATTTTGCTGATTTCTCTCATCTTTAACTAATTTCATTATCTTTTTACATTTAGATTTTGGAAAGCACTTTCACAATAAAACAGGTTTGGCAGATTAGAAGTCTGGAACATCTTACTAGAAACTTGACCCAAATTTGTTGTAGATATGGCAAGGAAAGAATTATTTTGATTAGATAATGTTAGGTGCTATTGTTCTATAAACAAAAATAAATGAAGGCTCTGCCTGTGAGAAGCTTACAGTCTACTTAGAGAAACCAAATCCCCGCCGAAGGTGGTGAAGAAATGATCTCTTCAAAACAGAAAATGCTGACACAGGTTCTGATGCAAGGCTAAGGAATGACCACCGTGATCAGTTAGTGAGAATGGGGACTGGCTGAGACAAGACACACTGGGGCACCTGGACCAATTTAACCCATTATGTGCTTGTTCATAAGACATGGACTCCACATTTGCTTACATTTCAGACCTGGGAAATAGAGCAGGGGCTGTTAACTATAAGCTTTCCTCAATCAGGACAGCTAAGTAGTTTCTGTGTCCTTAACTTAACCTAGTCTTTAACTTTAGAAGTTCTGTCTCCTGGGAACCTCAAGAGTGAAATTTACAAGTGATGGTTGTAAGCATTTTTTGAAGGTGACTGCTTTAGAGTCATTGCTTCCGAGATCACTTTGCAAAACCAGGTCACTGGGAAATAGAAAGCTGCTGAAAATGTACACACGGGCATTTCTCTAGTCCTAGAAGCTCACTCGTATGCTGGCCAGGATGTGAAGTGATTAGTGTAGTGTGAGGTCTAGTTTTATTTCAAAAGATATATTTATATCTTTTTAGTTTGAAGGTTCCTGTAAACTTTAATGTTGCTCAGAAGAGTCAGAATTCCTTTGTAGTTCTGTTTTGTTCTGGGGTAAATAACTGAACGTGTAACATGAACCCTTTTGGTCAGTCCACTTTTAGGAAGGTAGATGGGTTAAATGGAGCTCATTTATTCAACAGATATTAGTAAATGCTTACCAAATGTGAGCACTCTTCTTGGTGCTGGGAAGATAGTAGTAAGTGAAACAGCTGCTGCTGGATAGGTACATTCTGTAGGGATACACCGACTTCAAAATGTCAAGTGCAATCAAATGTAAAGGAAGGTCTCATCAGAGAGATGAGTATGTGTGTGTTAGGTGGGGAGGAGGATTTGGTGTTTTTCTTGAACTGTTTCTCAAGCTGTTTTCTACCTTGATGTTTTAGGGTAGATATTTGGTTTATTTCTAGTGAAGATCTTTAAACACTGTAGCTCCCACTCCTCATTTCTGGATTTTTCATTTATGCTCTCTGAGTTGGCGAGATTCCTGAGTCATTGTAGATCTTGTAAATTCTTAAATGTATTATAGCCTCCTCTTTTTTCTTTTCAGGAAGTGATTTCCACAATGGAATCATAGGTTTCAGTGAGGACTCCCAGCGTGGACTTGAACTGGGGGAAGGAGCTGATATGAGGAGACTGCATCTTCTTGTCACAAGGCAGCCAAACAGGTGTGACTGATATGTGTGTGCGTGTATGTTTATACACTAATTGGGATTCACACAATAGTGGAGACAGAATGAAACCTTGATAGTAGGCAGCATGGAATTTGATGTGTCAGTGTGCAGACGCTGTAGTCCTTGATCTGGGATTTAACACATTTGGTTCATAATCATAATATAGGGCTGCCTCAAATGTTTCGTACTTCGTGAAGTTACCTCACAGATGTCAGATTATGTAGGTCATCACTCCATCATATTTACTATTCTCTGAGGACTCCATATACCATTACACTCTGAGGGACACTTGGAGTACCAAAATTTTGTTTGCATTTAATAATAAAGTAACAGCATTGAATTCTGATGCATAAATATATTTGATATGCACACACACACACACACACATTTTCCTTTTTGCACCTAAATGTTCTGTGAAAATGTAGGTCATCTTTTGCCCTTTATAGTAATAACAACTATTTTTAACAGTAATGTTGTTTCATAGAGAAATTTTTGCTAAAAGATAAGTGAGAAGTGTTTACATAAGTTGGGTTCTCTTTAATTTTTGCTTTCACTTTTCTGGTACATTATAGGCAAAAATAATATTATTTGCTTTCACATTCTCGATGTAGAATAGTTCCACAAATGCTTATTCATTACTAATAGAGTGTAGTTGAGGAATACTGTGTAGACATTGAGCCTTAAGCTTTCTGTCATGGGGAGAACTGGTCATTTTCAGCATTATCAGTGGTGATGAACCGGATACCACACTGCTCACATGTTCACTTTGTTCACAGAGCCTTTGAAGATGTCCAGGTCTCTTGGAGAGTCACACTTAATAAAACAGCCATTGTTCTTCAGAAAGAAGGAGTGAACCTGATGGATGAACTTCTGTCTGTGTCAGGAAACACGACGTGTACAGCAGGTCAAACACAATGCTTCATCAGCCTTGAACTTACGCCAGGGAAGGTAAGAAATGTTGAGGCACAAGGCGGTAAACTTCCAATGTTTCTTTAGAAGTAATCATTTTTAAATCATTTTATGGAAACTCAAGCATATTGTTTATGGGAAATTTCTTTGTATCTTGCCAAGTTGTAATGTCAAAATCATTTTCTGGATCACAGATTTTAGACTGAGAATTTGAATTTTTCAATTTTTGTAAAATAAGCTTGTCAGTGTTTCTTTGTCTTTTTTTTTTTTTTTTGTCCTCTGGCTCAGCTACTCATTGTGTAAACAATTCTTGAGTCATTTTCAACCAGATTAGTATCTCTGATTACTCTAACTGTTGAAAATCCATCCCTCCATTTCAACTCACTTGCATTTTTTCTGATGATTTATTGTTGGCTCTATATTACAATGTATAAGATAATAATTAACTTAGGAAGCATGCTCTTAACTCATGAAATCTGCTTAAAACAAGCAGAATGTTTAAACATTTGTTGGAATTTTTAAAGAGATTTTAGTAAGATATCATATCCTTATTATATTGGTTTTCTGCTTCTGAGCAGACCTGATCCCAGCAAAACTAATTTTATATTAGTCGGGGCAAATGATCACCCTGGAGTGCATCTGACTTAACTAGGAAAGAAATCTGCTAGCAGTTATACATAGAATGGGTTCTTGTAAGGTTTCCATTCACATTTAGGAGTCTCGAGAGGCTCAGGTGTGATCTATGTGTCTTGTTTTCTCAGTAGACTTCAGCAATATTGTTTGAATAGAATGTTTCTTTTTTGAGAGAAGATACCTTTGCCTCTGGTCTAATTATGTGTAGGCACCATCTGTACACTGCTCAATTTTAGATAGTTCTTCACTTAAATTATAATATATTCTTTTTGACTGCAAGTGGTTGTAAGTAATGTTCTAATCATCATGACGATGAAAAGGAATATTTTACTGGAAAATAAAGGAAAGAGTCTTTATGCAATATGCTGAAATCTTCAGTTGAAAGAAATCATTGTGAATTCAAGCTCACTTGGTCATTAGGGAATAATAGCTCTTGAATATAGTTACCCATACTTTCCTGGTGCTTTATTTTATGGTATTTGCTAAATTTGGCTTCTCAAAAGTGGAATAAGTACAGTTATTTCCATATTTCAATATTTGCTGACAGTTGATCAGAAAGAGTGAAGGATGACATGTACCATATGAAAGCTAAACACATTTCTTCAAGTAGCAAAATGAAATTAAGGGTATTTACTGTGTGACTAAGATGCAACTTATTCTTGAATAATATGAAGGATTTGTTTTATTATTTCACAACATAATGATTATCATCAAAATGATCACGAAATGATCATGGTAGCACATGCCTGTAATCCCAGGGCTCAGGAGGCTGAGATAGGAGGCTCACAAGTTCAAAGCCAGCCTCAGCAACTTAGCAAGGCCGTAAGCAGCTTCATAAGACCCTGTCTTAAAATAAAATAAAATAAATTAAAGGCGGGGGATGTGGATCGGTGGATTGGTGGTAAAGCACCTCTGGGCTCAATCCCCAGCACATATACACAAAAATCACAAGTAATGAATAAGGTCCTTGCTGACAGATGAAAATGATGTATTGTATCAAATTAGACAATCTCATGAGCAGTTGAAAACCACATCAGCTTAGCTTTTTTGAGTCATGCCAGGAAGCTAACAATACTCCTAAGGTTTTTAGATTATATATAAGAGTGAATAATTCATAATGACAAATGACTGATAATGTGTTTTAAAGTTGAATTCAGACTTTAGAAAATAAATTATTTCAGAATGTTGAGAAAGTAAAAATGTAGAACATAAACAAGGTACAACTAGCAGAATATATTTAGACTTATTTGAATTGAATTTTGTGAAATTTTGAAAAACATGAAATTATAGAATTTATTATTATCAATATTTGGTCATATACATTTAAAACTCTTTAAAAAGAAAATCTCACAAAGTTGAAACCCTTTTGTTTCCCCATCCTCAGTGTTCTTCAACTCCACACCCTGCCTTGGTCTCTTCCTGGTACCTCCAACTAAGGCAGCTGCTGTCCTGAGTTCTCCTTTATTCTGTCTTTTTTGTTTGTTTGTTTGAATTCTTTGCATAAATATCCATTAACAACATATATTGAAACAGTGAATTATTGGAACTTTATCCTTTCAATATCTATATATGTACCTTCATATATATATATATATATATATATATATATATATATACACACACACACACACACACACACACACACATATGTATATACATATGTATTATATATATATTACTTCAAAACTTAATATTTTCACTCAGCATATTTTGAGATCTATGATTCTTTTCACTATATCTCTATAATATTCTGTTTTATGAATACATTTTGTTTATCCTTTTGCTCATGTACTACATCAAGTTGTCTCTGAATGTTGGTCTTCTGGTAAGAAGCTTACCTAAAGTAAATGTATTTTTTTTCCAACAATATGCCCTTTTATTTTGTTTTTAGTTATAAGTATTAGCATGTATTAAGTGCATAAAATGATGGGTTTCTTTGTAACATTTTCACACATGTATATAACATGCTCTGATGGTATCCACTTTCCTTATTAAGGTTTCTTAACCCCTAAAAGTAAATATATTTTTAAAGAAAGACCAAAAATCTAATTCTCTCGTAACCTACCATAAGAATTTTATTTTTTAATTGTACATTCATTTCTATAATGATCTATATGCATTATAACATTTCTTGATGCTAGAACTGCCCCAAAATAGAAATAAATTGGTAGTAGTTGTATATATTTTTCTCTTGTCATTGTCAGATACCTCAAGTTGAAGTGTATTTTTTCGTGGAACTCTATGAAGTCACTGCTGGAGCAGCAATAAACAACAGTGCCAGATTTGCACAGATTAAAGTCTTACAAAGTGATGAACCTCTAAGCCTTGTGTATTTTTCTGTGGGCTCTCGGCTGGCAGTGGCTGAGAAGAAGGCCACTTTAATCAGTTTGCAGGTGGAAAGAGATTCTGGGACAGGACTGATGATATCTGTTAACTTTAGTACTCAGGTAAGCTTACAGCCTGTAGTCACATGCATTAAGGTTTTCTTCTTTAGCTGTATATAACAAGTGTAGTAATAAAACAGACAATAATTGATACATTATTTTCTGAGGATGCCATTATAATTCACATTTTATTTATTACACTAAGCTTTATTCTAGCAGCAGGTCAATTTTTCTCTCATCAGTGACAGGTTTTAAAAATGTTTTAAAATGGTAAACTTTGACTTTTCTCTGTTTTTGACAGAGTTGATTACAGAATTCAAAGTCTCTGGTATAAATCTGTTCTATTAAGTCTCATAAGAGTTAAAGTTTTTTCAGAATGTAGCTATATGAGATCAGAAGGAAAAAAGTACTTGCTATGTCCTATCTCTGAAGTAGTTGAAAATTTCATTCTTTAGAACCTCAAACACTGATTATATTTTGGGTTTCTTTAAATACATGAGTTTGTGAGACCTCACTGCCACATTTTCACAATCATCCTATTAGGTGACGTCAGGGTAAAGGCAAGGAGCAGATGGGTATAGGAGGCTCACAAGAGCAATGCTGTCAACACCAAGTCACCAGATCTAATTAGCCCAAACAATGCCCTATACTTTTGAACGTTAATTCTTTTATTTTAACAGCAAAACTCTTACATAGCTAAGACAAGAATATGTATCTTCTCTATACACAAGGCATGCTTGTGGGATTAGAGATGGTCCCTCAGCCATCTCTTTTTTTTCCCTTCTTGACTCCTGTAGCCCCAGAAACCCACAGTTGGAAAGCTATCATTATAGACAGTGCTATTATTTATCCTGTTTAAATAGCCCATACTTGGTGACTCTAGACCTCAAGATTATAAAGTTTTATTATAATTTTTGAATAATATGTGCTTGGTTGTATCACTATTAGGTGATACAACTGTTCTGTGCTCAAATTACAGTTCTATGCATAAAAATACAACATGTGTAAGGCCAGTGAGCTGTAAACATGCATGGGAGGCCAGGCCTAGCACTGTGGGTAGTAAGCTGTCCTGCAAGCTCACCAGGCAGAGTAATTATCTTTGTTACAGACTATAGATCAGCTCACAAAAAAACAATATTCTGTTACATGAGACCCTAGAAATAAACTCTATTCTACATACCTTGAGGTGGTATGGTATAAGTGCAGATAGAAGAATTTTGATTTATAGTTGGAAGATCTTAGTATTTTTTCTTAGAGTATTTAAGATAGGAAGAAAAATGAGAGAGAGAGGAAAAAAGCACATGCTTCATTCTTATTCTTCTTCCATGACTATATCACTACCTGCTCATTACTTGGGAGAGTAGAGGGGGGCTGGAGATGAAAAGCAACTGATAAAAGAGATTTGAGGTACATTTAAACTATTTTATACTGGTGATACATACAGATGATAGGAGAATTGAAGTTTAAAAATGAAGAATCTGAATGCCAATATCATTAACATATTTCTTTACACTATTTCTAGATTTGTCATAAGTGACTCTTGGTAAAACACATGTTGTCACTAACATGTAGCTCTTAAAGGACATTTATGGGACAATATATTTCATGAATTTCTAGTTTTCCCTACTATGATGATTAATTTTATATGTTGATTTGGCTGGCCCACAGGATACTGATATATTTTGTCAAACCTTACTCTTGTGTTTCTACAAGGGCATTTTTGGATAAGATTTACATTTAAATCTGTAGTCAGAGTAAAACAGATTGCCCTCCTAATGTTGATGAGAATTATCCAATCATGTAGAGGCCTGGATAGAACAAAAAAGCTCAGTTGAGTAAAGAGGAATTCTTCCTGCCTAATAATCTTTGAATTCAAACACAGTTTTTCTTGCTGTCACAGTCATATTGAAACATTGGCTTTTCCTGAGTTTCAGGCCTACTGAATTCTGAATTGTGACTACATCATTGGTTTTCTTGGTTCTCAGATCTTCACACTTGGGCTATTACTAAACCATAAAATTTCGCTGATTTCCAGATTGCCATATCACCCTGAAGATCTTGGGATTCGTTTGTCACCATAATTGCATGAATTAATTTCTTATAACTCTCTCTCTTTCAACATACGTCTATAGAAACATACCCCCTATTAATTCTGACAAATACAAATACTACCTTGCAATATTAAACTTAGTAAAGAGTATTCATGGCAGTGCTGTTATACCAATGCCATTTCAACAAACACAAATGAAAGTGAAGAATGAAATCTGTAAAGTTTTCTAGGAATGGAGGGCTTCTGTTTCTGGGAAGATGGAGTCAATGTAACTTTCCCAATAAGTACAACTAAAGACCATCAACATTATTTATAAACAACATCAGGAGACTTTGAAAGCTGGAGAGGAGAAAGCAGAGGAGCTAGAGAGCTGGGGACCCAAGTGGTAAAACAGTGGTGGGTTCACAGTGTTTTCGTTTTGCTTTGAATCCTAGATTTTGATCTAAAGGTAATGGCATACAGAAACACTAATGGGAGGAGATTTTTTAAAGCCCTCACAAAATCTGCTATCTGTAGTCAAAGGAACAGAAAAAGGGCAGCCTAGCAAGATAGATAGTACTTCAGCCAAACACCCCAGAAAAAATCTGTTTCCACACAGCAGCAAAGAATGGATGAGGAATCTAGATTTCTACCTTGCCAGAGGCCTCAGGCTCTCTGCTGGCACAGTATTAGAGAGACCAAGTGGTGAGTCAGGACTTTCACCATTGTCTAGTAGAATAAAATGGAACCCAGCTCCCTCATGGTGTTCAAGGATACTCTGGGGAGACAGTAGGAAGGTACTTATGCCCTTCTTAGACGGGGAAGTATCAGTTGAGGATGAGTTTGGAGTCAAACTCCCACCTGCACTTAGCAATAATGAGGAATCTCCTTCTGTCAACAGAGAACAAGTGGGAAAATTAGGCTTATACTTTCACATGTCAGTAATAAAGTACATCTTCCCTTCCTTTGCCAGAGCAATTTCAAAAGAAGCCAACTAAAACAGAAGGCTTAAATAATATTAAGAATCTTGTAAAACAACATGCAAAATGTCCATGTTTTGTTTATCAATCATTTGTTCTACTAATAATGCAAAGAGAATAAAAAATGGAATAAAAAAAATAAAAAGGATCAACAGGTGCCTATAGTAAGATGGCAGAAGTAAAAGTATCTGACATTGTAATGGAGCCATCATAAAAAGGTTTCAATGAAGCTAACCCCCATTAAGGGGGAGCAAGGGGAAGGATAGAAATTATGTAGATTAGAGAAAGGGGAATGAAGGGAAGGGACTGGGTATAGGAAATGGAAAGACTGTGGAATGAATTTGGCATAGTTTTTCTTTGTACATTTATAGATATACTAGAGTGAATCTCACCATTATGCATATCCATAAGAAAGGGGTTCTAATTAGAATAAGATACAATTCATGCTTGTATAACTATATGAAAATGGATTCCACTGTCATGTATAACTAAGAAGAACCAATAAAAATCCTTCAATTAGCAATTACAAACATTTTTTAAACGAGAAAAGTAAAAAGTTTCAACAAAGAAATGGGAAGTGTTAGCAAATAAATAGAAGACAAAGAAGAGAAAATGGAAACTTTAAGAGTGAAACTTGCAATAACTGAAAGTGAATAGATAGGCTCAGTAGCAGAATGAAGGGAGCAAAGTAAATAATAATGATCTTTGAAGATAGAATAATAGAAATTATCTAATCTAAATAGCAAAAGGAAAATAGATTGACAAAGATAAAAAGAGCCTCCCAATGTAACAGTAACAGAAGATCTAACATTGTGTCATTAGAGTCCTGAAAGAAAGAGAAATCAGGAATGAAAAATACTTGAAAGAATAATGACTAAAAAATTTCCTAAAGATTGTAATCTGTAAATTCAAGAAGAAGCTGAGAAAACTCCAAGCAAGATATATGATACATATTAAAATTAAATACGGAGAGAAATATTGAGAGAAAGAGGAAATATGAATATCTATGGGACAAAACCAATTTGAACAATAGCAGATTTCTTACCAGAAATCATGGGATCAGGTAGAAGTGGTACAACATTTTTCAAGTGCTGAGGTAAAAGAACCATCAACCTTGAATTCGATTTTGAGGAGAAATATCCTTCACAAATGAAAGAGAAATTAAGTCATTATAAAAGGAAAGAAAAAAATAATAATTTACTGCCCACAGACCTATTCTGAAAGAATAGCTAAGCGAAAGTTTTCTAATTAGAAAGGGAATTATAAAAAGAAAAAATGTGGGTACACCAGTAAGGAAGACATGATAAGCAAAAATAGAGAAAACAAACAAACATGAAGAGACATTAGAGAAGATGTATATATGACTAAAAAGCACATAAAAAGATATTCAACATCATTAGCTCTCATCAAAATGCCTATTTAGAAACCACAATGATGTATCATTGTATACACTCAGAACAGCAAAAATTACATCAGTGACCATACCAAAAAATGCTGGAAGGATTCAAAGAAACTAGCTCAGATCACTTACTCTCTGCACATGGGAATATAAAATGGTACAGCCACTCTGGAACAGAATTTGTTGGTTTCTTAAAGAACTAAACATGAACTACCAGATGACCCAGCGATTGCACTCCTGGGACATTTATTCCAGAGAAATGAAAACTTATGTTCACATGAAATCCCGCACATCAATGTTTATAGCAGCTTATTCATAATAGCACAAAACTAAAACAAGGAAGATTTTTTATAAAAGAAAATATCCACTCTGTTTTAATTTTTATTTATTTATTTATTTTTATTTTTTAGTTGTAGACCCAATACCTTTATATGGTGCTGAGGATTGAACCCAATGCCTCACACATGCAAGGCAAATGCTCTACCAACTGAGCTACAACCCAGTAAAAAAAAAAAAAATGTTTTTTTAATGGGTGAATGGTTAAACTCTGGTATGTCCATGCCCTGAACCACAACTCAGTAATAATTAAAAATAACCTACTGATACATATGACAACCAGAGTCACCTCCGCATGATCATGCTAAGTGAAAAAAATCCCCAAATTATTTTCTGTATGATATCATTTATATAATACTCCTAAAGTAAAAAAAAATCATGGAATTGGAGTTTAGTGGTTTTCAGAGATGAAAGAGGGGGTGGCATAGAATGCAGACAAAAGTCAACTGAAGGATTCTCAAAAAAAAAAAAAAAGTTTTGGCCAGGTGCTATGGCAAGTATGTGTGGTCTTAGTATCTCTGGAGGCTGAGGCAGGAGGATCACAGGTTCAAAGCCAGTCTCATCAATTTAGCAAGGCCCTATTTCCAAAAAAAAAAAAAAAAAAAAAAAAGTGCTGGGGAACATGGCTTAGTGGTTAAGTGCCTGTGGGTTTAATCCTTGGTACCAAAAATAAAAATAAAAAAAAAAATGTCTTGATGGTCTTGTCTGTATTATTGCCAGTACCCTGGTCATGATTTATATTATAGTTATGCAAGATGTCACCAATAAGGGATACAAAATAAAGGGTGCAGGAAATCTCTTTTTATTATTCTTATAACTGCATGTTAATCTACAATTATTGAAAAGTAACAAGTATGATTTTTAAAAAATCAGAATAATAATTTTACCTCTCTGGTGTTATTTTCCTGTTGCTTCATCACCCTGCCTTTCTTTCTTTCTGAATTTTAGGCACATTGCTAGAAGATAAAGCTATGTAATTCTGCTTCCCAAGAACTGCAAGATGAGAACACAATTATGAACCAAGTTACCATTTTCTTATGATGATAATGATTTTCACTTTACTTTGGAGAGATTAATGAAGTTAGAATAGTCACTATAACATCCATATACTTTGTTAGGTCAGCATTCCCATATACATAAATACCACAGGCAGCATATATTCTCCAATGTTTAAGTCTTGATGATATAAAGAAGGAATTTTCCATCTTTATTACTTGAAATAATGAAAAGCTCACCCATTCTAGTTATGCTCCCATTAAATAGGCCTATAGCTAAACCAAATTTGAAAACAGATTCTAGATGCTAATCATCTATATATTTGCGCAATAGCTCAGAGCATACAAGTTCAAGAAAGACTGTGAATTTACTTCTTATTCTTATAATGCCCGTTTATTCAAATCTGTTTCTATATTGACTTTCCAATAGCATACTGCTGATGGTTTGTGACATATTTTTATAAATATAAGAACATATTTATTTTTTCACTTCCTTTAAATATTTGAATTATGAAACAAATTCTACCAGAAAATAGTGTATAAAATGTACATATGCAGTTCATACTAATCAAACACCACTACCTCTGTGAGAAATCCAGCTTTACCAGAAATTTAAAACTAGGGGCCATGAACCCCTCTCTGTTATAAGAGGTTATCTTACAGATAACCTCTATTCTGAATTTCATGTTTAATTACTCCATTGCTTTTATCTGTAGTTTTAACACCCACCATATGTTTTTTGGGTCTACCTGTTTAGGACGTTATGCAATTGAAATTGTGTTCTGAGGCATGTTGGTCTGAGGCATCCTTATTTCATTCAACAATATGTTTGTTAAATACCCATCCAACATGTTCTGATTTTTGTTATATAATATTCAATACATATATGTAGTGTAACCATTTAAAATACAAAAGCCAATAAGCTTTTGAGTAGTTTCCTTCAGTAAGGTTTTTGTTCTATCATTGTTCTGCAGATGGTTTTTAAAAGACTGTCTTCATTGACTATTCATTTTTTGAAATAGTTGATTACTTCCTCTTCCTGAAGGATGCTGTTCCCTTTGGGTTTCTGGGTTGTGGTACTTTCCTGCTCTTAATACTTCTCACTGGGAGTTCCTCTCTGATGTCAGTGTAGGTCTTCCTAGATGATGCCTGTTGGAGTCTAGCGAGACTCACTCTCCAGGCTACAGTATGCTGACCTATTTCTTTAAGTGCCACCTGAAAGCTGAGAACTCCCAAATTTTTATCAATTGTCTCCCCTTTTCCGGACTTACGTATCTGATTTTTCTTACTCGAAATCTTTGCTTCAGTGTCTGAGGCATCTCAGACTTAACATGCATGATAAGTAACTCTTGATATCTCCTTCAACAATATTTCCCCTAGCTTTCCATCATTCATCCAGTTACTTATTCATCAAAGCCAACTGCTGGACTTCATCCTCAATTTTCCTTTTCCTTTTACCCAGCATTGAATTCATCATAAAGTCCTCTTAACTCTATATTCAAAATACATTCCCAGTCTGGGTACTTCAAATCTTTCCACTTCTGGGACCCTAAATCAAGCTACCACTGTTTCTCACATGAAACTATTGCAAAAACTTGTCCTTTCTTCCTGCCTCTCTGCTTATTTCCTGTTAACAGACTAATAAAGATAACAGCCTGAACACTGATGAAAATATTGAATGAAGTGGGCCACTTTCTTGTATTTTCCATGTTTCCAACCATGTGCCCACCCCAAATGACCCCTTACACCTCTCATGTGAGCTTCCAGTCACACTGGCCTTCTGGTTTCTTCTCTTATATACTAAGATGGTTCTTACTTCAGGGACTTTGTGATTGCTCTTCTTCCTGCCTAGAATATTTCTCCTGAGATCTAGAATATTTCTGCTGAGATCATCATGTAACCTATTTCTTTACTTCACTGAGGTCTTTTTTTAATATCAGCTCAAGAGCTTTTATAACCAGCATTATCTAAAAATTGTGCCCTGACCTTTTCCCTTCCCTTACTTAGTCGATTTTTTTTTGTCATAAAACACCATGTATTAATAAATAATCAATTCCATAGCTCTTCTGTTTTCTGTAAGTCTTCGCTAGAATAATAGTTCCTATGAGTGACCTTCTCTTTAATTCTGCATCTATATTATGCAATCCTGGGCTATACTATGAGTTTCACAGTTGTTGGCTCAGTTGTAAATAAATGTGAATTCCTTTTGTTCTTCCTTGACTAAGTATTCATGCTTCACTTTCTGAATACTTTTTAATAACCAAACTGAAAATATGAGAGGTATATGCATTAAGGACCTTATAACACATTCCTGTATTTAAGTGTGAGCAAGAGACCAGTTTATTCTTCCTTCTTTCTGCCTCCTCCTTATCCTCCCTCCTTTACAACTACCTCCCCAACAAATTTCCAGGTAGGAATGAAATGTTAATATTTCTTTTGTTTCTTCATACTTATGTTCTCCGACATGTGTAAGCTAAAGCACAACTTTTAGTGTGTTCACCCTGGGAGACATTTATGAGGAAAAAGTGACATTTCTTTTCTAGTTCTCTTCTTTGATATGTTCACTCAAAAGAACCGTCTTTCCAAACTCCATTACTGTATTATGTATGTTTATCTCTACAAATTATTAATTAGATTAGAAAACATATAAAGCCGTATATTTTAGTGGCACTTTTGTTATTGCCCATCAGTTTATTTAACAAAAATAGAATTTTATTTTTACAAAATAAAATTTTGTTTATGGCATGTTCAGAGACATAGTTTCACTTATATGTTATTGTTTCCTTTGCAGGAGTTGAGGAGTGCTGAAACAATTGGTCGTACTCTTATATCTCCAGCTGTTTCTGGAAAGGATTTTATGAGAAATGAAGGCACATTGGTCTTTGAACCTGGCCAGAGCAACACCATGTTGGATGTCAACCTAACGCCAGAGATAGGGTCTTCAAGTCCATTTCCTAAACGCTTTCAGATTGTGCTTTTGGGCCCAAAAGGTGGAGCCAGAATTGATAAAGCATATGGTACTGCCAACATCACTCTTGTCTCTGATGCAGAGTCACAGGCGATTTGGGGCCTTGCCGATCAGCTGTACCAGCCCCTTGATGAAGACATTCTTAACAGAGTGCTCCACAACATTAACATGAATATAGCCACAGAGAACACTGACGAACAGCTCAGTGCTGTGGTGCATCTAATAGAAAAGGTAAGAAAACCTTGCAAATGGAAACACTTAGTTTAATAAAACTTGACAAATTAGAAAACCAACACAAAAGTCACATTCTATTATATCACATACATAGAATTGTGATAGCACTAAACTTCTAAATATAAGAGTAGAATTCATCATACCTGACACTGAACTTTGGTTTGGATATGAGGGATGCCTGTTTGACACCCTCAGTATTCAATTTGCATAATCTTGTTCAGCAGAAAAAATAGTTCAAAGTCTAAAAAGGCAGAACAGATGTTAGAAGCTGCAGGCTCTTTCTGATTCTCCAGAAACTGTTCACTTGTCTTTGGCATTTGATCCTCTATTGTTTTTGCAATCATAAAAAGAGGACTTGCACCAATTTGTAGTCCCACCAGCAATGTATGAGTGTGCCCTTTCCCCCACATCCTTGCCAACACTTATTTTTGTATGTATTCTTGGTAACTGCCATTCTGACTGGAGTGAGATGAAATCTGAGAGTAGTTTTGGTTTGCATTCCTCTAATTGCTAGAGATGTTGAACATTTTTTCATATGTTTGTTGATTAATTGTATATCCTCTTCTGAGAAGTTTCTCTTCAGTTCCTTAATCCATTTATTGATGGGGTTATTTGTTTTTTGGTGTTAAGGTTTTTGAGTGCTTTATATATCCTAGAGATTAGTGCTCTATCTGATGTGCTTGTGGTAAAGATTTGCTCCCATTGGAACCACCATTTGACCCAGCTATCCTCCTCCTCGATTTATACTCAAAGGACTTAAAAACAGCATTCTACAGGGACACAGTCATCTCAAGGTTTATAGCAGCACAATTCACAATAGTTAAATTGTGGAACCAACCCAGATGCCCTTCAGTAGATAAATGGATAGGGAAGCTTTGGTATATATTCATGATGGAACATTACTCAGCATTAAAAGAAAATAAAATCATGGCATTTGCAGGTAAATGGATGGAGCTGGAGAATATAATGTTAGGTGAAGCAAGCCAATCCCAAAAAACCAAAGGCTGAATGTTTTCTTTGATATGAAGAGGCTGACTCATAATGGTGATGGAGTAGAATATGAGAGGAATGGAGGAAATTTAGAAAGGGCAAACGGAAGGGATGGGGAGGGAGGGAATGGGGAGTAGGAATGAGTTAGACATCATTACCCTAAGTACATGTATGAAGACACAAATGGTGTGAAAATACTTTATGTACAATCAGTGACTTGAAAAATTGTGCTCTGTGAATTGCATTCTGCCATCATGTGTAACAAATTAGAATAAATAAATAATTTAATTCAAAAAAATAAAAAGAGTACTTGGAGTAGGTATTCATCCACACAGTGCTTTTAGTTTAAATGCCACGAAACAGGAACAATTATCCACTGCTTGTTCTCTGTTCCTCTTGGGCACTGGAAACTTTCCCAGAAAAGGAAAAGCTATGGGATGGCCAGATAACTTTAGGCATTCAATTTGGTTTGGACGTGGACCAACTAGGTTTTGTTTTAAACCCATTTATTTATTTACACTTCTGTAAATGATGGAGTTAAATGGAGATATGAGCCCAAGGACATACATGAAAATAGATAAATAAAAAGAGTTAGTACTAGAGGAAAACATGAGAATGTGTGTGTGGGATTCTTACCAAGATATTTCATAGTAACACATTTGCATATAAGTATACAAAGTTTTGATCACATATGTATGAATTTATTAATACTATATTTCTAACATAGCAACCTTTAAATATTTAAAATGTTTACAGCAGGGACTTAGCTATCATGTCTATTCTATTTCCCATGATATTTCTTAAAATATAAAGCTCAAAGTATAAAAAAGAAAATTGTTAGGTATATAGGTAAGAAGAAGAGGCCATACCAAGTAGCTTGTAAAGCAGAGAAGTGGTTGTTATTTCACACAGAGAACATTCTAGAAAATAGTGATCTTACTCCAGAAAATAATGTTACTTAATTTTTTAAAAATATTGTTTTTAGTTATACATGGACACAATCTCTTTATTTTGTTTTATTTATTATTTTTATGTGGTGCTGAGGATCGAATCCAGTGCCTCACATGTGTGAGGCATGTGCTGTGCCACTGAGCCATGACCCCAGCCCATGTTACTTAAATTTTCTAATGATGAAATGGCATGGGACATCAGCAAATTGATTTTGGCCAAGACAAGGGAAAGCATACATAAGAACAATTTAGGGTAGAGCAGAGAACTTCAGATCAAGTGTTTTGTAGAAGATATAAGAAAATTCTGCTGCCCCTTCTCCTCAGTAAGTTATATAAGATAGTTATATACCATTGATCAAGAATCAACACTGAGGGTTGGGGTTGTGGCTCAGAGGTAGAGCACTTGCTCAGCATGCATGAGGCACTGGGTTCGATATCAGCACCACATAAAATAAAATAAAGAGATTGTGTCCACCTATAACTAAAAAATAAATATTTTTTTTAAAAAGAATCAACACTGATTTAAGTGGTTATCAAATAATATATCTTGATTGTTTAGTTATGATTAGTTGTGTGCTTTACCAAAAGGAACTTTCTATTTCCTTTTAATATGGAAAAAACTGGGGTACCTCTGAAATTCTTGGGTTATAACCTTTAAACCTTGTTCTAGGTAAATACCTAATGTGTGTTGTGTTTAAGCAGAACAAATGGGTTTGGGAACATTTGTTCAAATACCACGTATGGCAGCAATGCTTATTTTAGCATTACTTACAGTAATAACAAAAATTGAAAAAATAATTGCTATCGAGGGGGGCCTAGTTCAATAAATTCTGGTGTATTGATGAAATACAGCCATGAATGAACCACACAAAAACATTTTAGTCAATAATGGACCACATTATGGTGTTGCCATAAGATTATAAATTCCTATTAGTATTTTTACTGTAGCTTTTCTGTGTTTACATTTGTAAATACTACCATGTGTCACCTGTAGTATTAAGTACAGTAATATGCTGTACAGATTTGTAGCCTGGGAGCAGTAGGCTAAACCATGTATCCTGCATGTAGGTATTTGCTTACCAGGTAGTAAATACTCTATGATATTCACAAGGACAGAACTATCCACAATGCATTTCCCAGAACATATCTCCCTTGTCAAGTTATGCATGACTGTATGCCACAAAATAAATATTTCATTTTGAGACAGTTATATAATTATACTACAAGAATAATAAAACAAAGCACTGAAGATACAGATAATCACATATAGATAAGGTTATAAAACTTAACCAATAAAATTAAAGGATGCCCAGTTAAGTTTGAAATTCAGATAAACAACAACTAAATTTTGAGCATATATACATCATAAAATACTTACTTGACATACTTATTTAGCAACCAGTTATTCTGGGCTCATCTGAAATTCAAGGAGTCTTATACTTCATCCAGTAACCTTTCATATATATCATATTAAACTAATAGACACTAATAAACCTCAGCTTCAGAAGTTACAGCCTAAAACTGCCAGGGCTGAATAGAACTTGGTTACATAAAATCTTGTATTGCAGGTAAAACTGTTTCTAAGTTCTAAGTTTCTAAGTTCTTTGAAACAGAACCCGCCCTACATAATGTTTGTTTTATTTTCCATAATGTTTTTTTTACTAAAATCTCAATATCTTAGATAAGATCACACACTCTAGAAGTGTTGTTTATTCATGTTTGCATGATACAAATATTGTCCTAAAAAAAGCAATAGCTTTAAATGATTCATATGAAGACTTCTAGATAAAATCCAACAGTGGGGTTGGGCATATTTTTGCAATAACATGATATTCTGGCCTCTGATTTTCCCACGCATGATACAGTAAAAATAATTTTAAAAGCTGTCAGTTGCCTTAATAACACTATCAGTCTTTTAAAACCCTGCTGGATTTGATATTACAATTTTAATTTTACCAGATTTAGATTTCCTGGCAATTGGAGGTGAATAAAACATGAGTCAGGAGGTCTAATTTTGTGTTCTGGAAAACTTGAAAGAGCATATGAATAATTTGTTTTGTGGAAGTTTGTTAGACCATCTCCCATTTCCAATGGTTGCTTCTTTTATTTTTAACCCTGATAGGTTTTTAATTTTTTCCCATGGTTGTTTCAAGTCTTCTGCTTGTTTTTAAGTCAATTTCTATAATTTGGGTGTTTCTTTTGTAGCTGTTTATGTAAAATGTCCTTAAAAAACCAGAGTATTTATTTTTTATCACACACACTTTTAATATTATGCATTTGATGCCTAGATTATTTTGTACATATAATTTATAATAGTACTAACTGGCTTAGATTTCAATCTGTATTTTACTGACTGATTTTTGTATTTTATAATTGCAATAATTTTAACTAAGTTGTCTGTGACCTGAGTCAATCTGTGTTGTGTTTTTCGACAAGCCTGTGGGGGATTTGGGGAGTCAGTGCAGGTATCTGTCAGGAATACCTCCTGGGTTTGGCTAGTCACCAACCCTGTGCTCTGGCTGACTTAAGTTATTTTCTTTCTGAATAAGTTTCTTTCCCTGGAAACGAAACAAAGATCATACTAGGACTTTCCTCAGAGGATTCTTGTGAAGATTAGAGAAGTTAACATAAAGTTCTAAGAACTATGAAGTGCCCACAATAACCAAGCGTTATATAAATGGCCTTTTTGTTTTATTTTGTGCACTCTACTAAAAGGAATTGTTTCCCTTGAACATGGATAACAGTTTGAAAAACTCTAGAAATTTTGGATCATAACTTTTAGTTCTTAAAATTATGTACCTGTGTCTCTGTTGGCTTCTGGCATTTCATTTTCAGAAATGCCTCATGTCAGATTGAATTTTTGTTTCTCTGTTACTATGTTTTTTTTCCTGTGATTTCTAATATGACTTTTTTTTAATATTTAAAAAAAATCACCCAGATATGTCTGGTGTTTTTTGTTTTCTTAATTTCCTCTGTTTGAAAGTAATCTCTGAACTTTTAGACAGGAGTGTCTCTTTAGCTTATTAAAGAACTGTGGTATTTTTTTTTTCTTGTATCTGTTCTTTCGTATGCTTGTGTCTGAGGGATTTGTCCTACTTGTCTGTTACGTTTTCTTTGAGTTCTAGGAGAGTTTCTTGAGCTGATTTTCCATTAGTTATGACCAGTTTGTTTGTTTCAGTGTCCAATCAGCTGTTCTTTCATCTTCCTTTGTAATTTCCTCATTGTTAAATTGTTATTCTGTTCCTTTCATTGTATTTCCCCTGTGGATTATTGTGCATTCTGCCTTCCTATCTTTGAGGTGGCTACTATAAATTCAGATCTTGAGTTCTTCTTTGAGCTTGGAATGTTACTAAGTCACAAAAAAAAAAAATATGGAGAACTTCCTCAGGAGCTCCTTTAGCAGGAGAAACAGATAAGTCATTTCAAGGCTAATATAAGTTTATGTGCAAGTTGCAAAGAGTGATAATGTATGTTGTCAGGAAGAGCATAATGTAGGATATAGAGAAAGTGATGACTTGGAGTTTAAAAAATTAATAGGAACTTATTAGATATATTAAAATAGAACAAAATAAGTCAGTGGCTTCACACCATTGCTTAGGTATTAGTTGAGATGTGGGCTACTTCATTCTGGCAAGGAAAAACCATGAAGATGATTTCCCCCCCTACTTTTCTTATTCCTCCAATAATGAATAATGTAGTCTTCCAAAGTAGGAAGGGTCATACTTTCTGAAAAAGACAAGGATGCCAGGTGGTTTTGAGTACTATTGGTTGAAAATAATTTCTTGATTTGATTATTAGAATTTAATGACATATGGTAGCTTCTGTTCATTGAAAAACAGACAAAAATAATCCTACTTCCATTATGAAAAAATATTCTCTAGGCATTTATTTCTTTATATGCTGGTCAAAAGAATGTATGTTCTTGAGGGTGGTGTAAAAATGGGTCTTGTTTTAATTCATCAGGCTAACTATTGTAGTTACGTGATCCAGGTGACCATTTGGGCTATTAAAGATTAAATAGAAAATATTTTAGCTATTGTGTCTTTTTTTAAAATTAAATGTTAATTTTGCATTTTAAAGCGCAAATGTATGTATTTGAAATACCAGTTTCTCTTAAATGCTTCATAGGTTCATGTTTGTAAACATTAACAACTGTTAATATTTTATGTAGTATGTAGATGACATGTAATTTAAGAAGTTTATTTTTGAAGTATATATTTTTATACTTGAATTTTTTCTAGATAACTGTTGAAGGAAAAAATCAAGTTTTCAGTATCAAAAGCAGAACTCTTTTCTATGAGATTCTTTGTGCTCTTGTTAATCCAAAGCGCAAGGACACAAGAGGATTCAGCCACTTTACAGCAGTGACTGAAGATTTTGCCTTTTCTCTGCTGACTGATGTTACCTGTGGCTCTCCTGGTGAAAAGTAAGTATCTTCTAATACATCAATAGTACCTTACATGCATTTCTTCACTGTTTACCAAGCAACATGCGATGCAAATTGACATTGACATGATGTAACTCAGAATTATTTGGCCAATGCATTGTACCTGTTTGGCAAATTAAGTGAATTGTTTGATAAAAACCTAACAGTTCCATGAAGAAAAATGAATGAGTACTGTTGGCAATATATTCTTATTATTTCAAAGTGTGTTTTAAAAGTTGTAAACAGCCATGTCTCCAACTTTTATGTATTCAATGAATAGAAGATACACTCTGAATAGGACCAAAAAGAGGGGAGCTGATTCTGAACTTTAGGGGTCTTTTTTATTAATTTCTTTATTAATTTTATTTTTGTGTGGTACTAAGGATTGAACCCAGTGCCTCACACATGAGAAGTGAGTGCTCTACCATTGAACTATATAGCCCCAGCCCTAGGAGTGTTTTGATGTGCTACTACTTGTGCTTCCAAAGACAGCTCTCATACTCTGTTGAACTTCGGGCTGGAGTGTCATGGCAAGAAGCTAGCCAGAGGAGAAGGAAAAAATAAAATACAGTGCATTTAGAGACCTAAAAAATGTTTTATTTTGTTTGACAACATAAAAGTGGCTAATAATAGAACATGTCTGGAAATTGGAATTGCAACTTGATTTTCACAGAGGAAATAGGATCTAGAATTATACTTCAGAGGGATAGTGACAAAAACAGCATGGCATTGGCACCAAAATAGGCATGAAGACCAATGGAATAGAGTAGAAGACATAGAGACAAATCAATGTAAATACAGTTTTCTGATACTAAGACAAAGGTGCCAAAATATATGTTGGAAAAAAGATAGCCCTTTTAACAAACAGTGATGGGCAAACTGGAAGTCCATATGTAGAAGAATGAAACTAGACTCCTACCTCTCACCCTGCACAAAAATCAACTCAAAGTATAACAAAGAACGAGGAATTAGACCAGAAACCCTGCACCTGCTAGAAGAAAATGTAGGCCCCATACTCCAGCACGTTGACTCAGGAACAGACTTCCTTAACAAGACTCCTAAAGTGCAAGAAATAAACTAAAAATATCAATAAATGGGATGGTATCAAATTAAAAGGCTTCTGCATACAAAGGGAAACAAGAGCATGAAGAAGGAGCTTACATAATGGAGGAAGATCTTTCTTACCTGCTCCTCAGGATGTTAATATCCAGAATATGCAAAGAACTCAAAAAACTTAACACCAAAAATCCAAGTAACTCAATTAATAAATGGGCAAAAGAATTAAACAGACATTTTTCAAAAGAAGAAATACAAATGGTCAACAAATAAATGAAAAAAATGTTCAACATCTTTAGCAATTAAGGAAATGCAATCAAAACTACATTGAAATTTCATCTAATTCCAGACAGAATGGCAATTATCCAGAATAAATTATAAGTGTTGGTGAGGATGTGGGGAAAAAGGTACATTCATACATTGCTGGTGGGACTGCAAATTGGTGCAACCACTTTGGAAAACAGTGTGGCAATTCCTTGAACAACTAAGAATAGAACCACCATATGACCCAGCTTTCCCACTCCTCAGTATATGTCCAAAATATTTTAAATCAGCATACTATAGTAATGCAACATATTAATGTTTATAGGAGCACAATTCATAGTAGTCAAACTAAGGAACCAACTTAGATGACTTTCAATAGATGCATGAATAAAGAAAAGGTGGTATATGTACACAATGGAGTGGTATATATATACAATTATGCACAGATACACAATACTCAGCCATAAAGAAGAATGACATTATGGTGTTTGCCGGTAAATGGATGGAACTGGAGAATATCATGCTAAGTGCAGTAAGACAGACTCAGAAAGTCAAGAGTTGAATGTTTTCTCTGATATGTGGAAGCTAATAGAAAATAAGGGATGAGGGATTTAAAAAAAAAAGGAGAAAGGGGAAAAAGTAAAATGGAATTTCATCAAAATATAGGAGATATCAGTAGAGTTGAGATTGAGAAGAGGATTTAAAAGGAGGAAGAGATGGGAAAAGGGAAGAACAATGGAATGAGTATGACTGAGGTTTCTTATGAGCATGCATGGATGTGGCATGGTGGTTCCCGGCACTGGGTGTATTCACAGGATGCTAATTTTAAAAAAAAGTAAACTCTAAATGGATTGAAAAAGAATAGGTGGAGTGGAGGGAGCAGAGGTGGGGAGTGCTGGGGACTGAATCGGAGCAAGTTCTGTTCCATGCTTTTGTGATTATGTCAGGGTGTATCCTGGTGTTGTATGTGACTAAAAAGAATAAAACAACAATAACCATTATTTAATGAGTGACATCTGCTTAAGATTAAGTTTATGTAAAACTTTTATCAATTTTATTATTTATTCTCAATGAATGCTGTCATCAGTGTTTATTACATTGAAATTTAGAGACACTCTGAAGACTACATTTAAAAACTCATATAATAATTTAAATCATCTCTTTATTTATAGGTCCCTTTATGAACTCTGGCAGGTTAACTAAAATACCAGTTGAATACCTAAAAATTTAATGTTAGTTTTTAAGTCCCAAGACATGCAAAGTTAAAAGAGATGGTTAATACAGACATAAAAAGGTTTGTGGTAGCCTTTTTATCAGGGAGAGTAAGATATAAATAATAACATAAGTGATCTTAACTGTACACCTCTGCTGTAGTCTTGACATAGTTTTGCATTGAAGAATATGAGTGAATTATAATATTGAAACATTATAACATTATAATGTTGAAATTTATATAAGGTTCAACTTAATCCTCACCAAAGGTTTTATACACACACACACACACACACACATACATGGAGAGAGAGAGTTTTATATATAATAGTTACATATATATGTTATAAAGTATAGTGTATATATATACACTATAATATAGTTCTTTTAAATGTTTTTGTTAGTTCATTGTAACCCATAACAATCAGTTCATTTTGACGCAGTCATACATGCATGGAATATAATTTGCTCCATTTTAATCCCCAGTATGGCTCCCCTCTTCCCTCCTCCCATTTTTCATCCTCTATTGTACTGGCCTCCCTTCTATTTATTTATTTTTTCATTGGTCACCAGTCTATGATGAAGTATGGACTCACTTCCAGGGCTACTTGACCCCACAGTCCTGCTTTGTAACAACTCCCTTCCAACCTCATGGATCCTAGGTGTTCAGACTTTCATTCCACATGAGTACCAATGGGTGACAAGGTTAAGACAAAGAACCAGCACACCCTTTTTCCCTGTACTCTTCCTTTAACCTTGCAGGGTGAGTCCCAGTGTTTGAGGTTTTTATTGAAAAATCAGCAAGGTATCAATAACTTCACAGGTGCCTCATTTCAGGAGGCTTCTTCTCTTTACCACTGCTCCTAGATATCTATTTGAGACCAGTGATTAGCAGTTCCTTCTTAGTAACTTTGATATATGTCTTTAATCCTGTCTTCAGAAATCTCTGACATGGATTGCTTATTTGTTTAAAGTAAGTTCCCACTTAAGCTACAGAATGTTTCTGTGTGTGTGTGTGTGTGTGTGTGTGTGTGTGTGAGAGAGAGAGGGGGGGGGGGAGGAATCAGATTTGGTATTTTAGAAACATCATGTTGAAGAGGTTGTTGAAATTAAAGAAGAGGAAAAGCAAGAAATAAGAAAACTAGGTGGTAATTCCAGAGACTTGTGAGGCTGAGGTAGGAGGATGATAGGTTCCAGTCAAGCCTGGGCAACTTCATGAGACCTGTCTTAAAAAATAAAAAGAAATTAAAAGGACTGAAGGTGTAACTCAGTGGTAGAGTGCCCCTGGGTTCAATCTCCAGTAGGAGGAAGGGAAGGATTGAAGGAAGGGGAAGACTACATAGGGGATAACTGTTGAGTAAAGATGAATGTTCAAATTAATGGAACATAAAAAATGAGAGAGATCACTATTATTTTGTTTTGCTTAAGTAACTCCAAAGACAAAGATAACCATAATTATGCATAT